ATGTCGAATTTCGATAGGGAGGGAATTCCAGAAATTGACAGTTCGAGCAATAAAGGAGTTTTGGAATGAGGCATGATCTGTGAGAAGACATGTTAAGGTTAGAAGGTCTTGTGGAAAGGGAACGGACTGAGGATTTGAACTGGAGAAGGTTGTAGGCGTAAGAAGGACGATTGTTGATGATTTGGTAGAGGAACGTACCTAGAAAATATTGTCTTCGGAAGGAGGGGAAAAGCCATCTTAACTCAGCGTAGTGGTGAGAGACATGGGAGTATCTTGGGGCTCCAATCACAAATCTTACGCCGCTGTTCATTAGTCTTTTCAGTCTATCGCGGAGCTCCACATGGAGGCCATAGGCTGACTACCTCACAGCTGTAGTGTAGTCAAACTGGGGGAAAATGAGGTAGGAGATGGCGGAAGCGATGGAATAGTTTGAGGATGGAAATTGTCCGTCGAGAGATGTGAGAAATATGGTGATACCAGAAGAGATTTTGATCAATGAAAAATCCTCAATTTTTAACAGAGGAGTAGAAGGAGATTGGCTGGTCATTAAGGTGTAGTGTGGGAAAGAAGGTATGAGATCTAACAAGGGGCTTGGAAGCAATGACAATAACCTGAGTTTTGGCAGCATTTAACCTTAGTCCGTTTACATTGGTCCAGGCACTGTTTCGATTTAGGCCTTCTTGGATCTTGGCAAATGCTCCCAATAACTCAGGAGGGGTATTATATTATAGTAATTGTAAAAAAATAAATAATCCTTTAAAATGTATTTATAAAATAGTATTAAAATAAATCAATTTAGAATTTTAAATAACTGCAGTAAAAAATTAGATGCAATATTTCTATACTAAAATAACGGAGTGTCGTTTTTTTTTGTTTTTTTTTAATTGTGTACAAATAAAAATTTAACTAAACAAGAAAGAAATGGTGAGAAAATTAAAATACAGTCCTATACAATACAGTTGTAAAATAATGTGTTTAAAATATATGAAATAATAACATTTAAACAAATATATTTAAAAAATTACAAATATACACTGTCAGGGTCAAAAGTATTCGTGCACCAGTGATTAAACCTATGAAATAAAAATATATTGCAATTATGCAAAGGTGTAATTAAAAAGAATATATTCATTTTAAGATCGACAATCATTAAAAACAACATAATTTTGATATATATGGTCTGTAGCGCCAACCGAAAATATATATATATTGCTACAACCTTCTCTGTTAGCCTTATTTTTTTTATCTCTTAATTAAAAACTTTTTCTGAAGAAGATAGCTAATATTTAAATTTTAGCAGAATACTTTGGCAAACGATGAAGCTGCAACAAATAATTGATATAAAATAATTAATAGTTATATGATTAATTGGGATTATTATATTTAAATCTAAAGAACATAAAATTCAATTAGAACATTAACATTAAATCTTAAAAACATTAACAGGGAATTAAATTAAACTCTTATAACTTTATGTACAATAATATGAACTTTACAAACTTTACCCTTTAATTATGTAATTTGTAATAAGGGTCATAATACCCTTCAGCCCGAAAGATTTTTTCTAAGAAGGTTTTTTCGCCGCGTTCATACCCTACTCGTTTCCGCTTTGTCTCATCATATTAACAAATGTATAATCAAATTTTATTATGGTATGGTATCTATTTTTATTTATTCAGATAAACTTTATCACCATACCATATCATAATAATAATTATATATATATGGAAGTTTGCTCCACTACTTGCGTTTTCTGACTTTATTCTTCAGATGGTGACTGAGGTCACTAACAGATCCAGGATTTAATTTTGGGGAGGGAGCTTCAGCCCGAGAGATTTTTATTTTATGAATTTGTATGTATATATTAGGAAAATTACTTCGGAAGAATGAAAGAAACTAACTACCTATTTGAAATGGTGTTTAAATGCTTCTAAGTCCTATTAAATGTAATTAGACGAAAAATAATACTTTTAGGGATATTTTTTCTTTAATCATAGTTATATTTTCCCATTTTTGGGGGAGAGGGGCTTTAGCCCGAAAGCCTTCTCCTCCCCCCCCCTCCGTTAGATCCATCTCTGACTGAGGTGGAGTTACTATCTATTTTGGTACACTGCAGAAATCCATATTTCCGTTTTCCAAGCGGTTTGTTTGTGGTCATTATTTTGCTGAAAAATATAATATTTCCTTTTCGCCAATTTTTCGTTACCAATTGCAATATTTTCTTTGAAGATGTCAATATATTTTATCTCTATGCTCTTTATTTCTCATTTTCTTCTTCCCTAGCTTTTTTTTTCCACATTTATCAAACATTTCACTTTTACCTCAGTTGAAATATATTTCCAAAAAGCATCGCAAATCTATGCATGATCTTCTACATATATTTACATATATACATATATACATATACATATTTACATATACAATACATATATTTACTATCCACATTTAGGAGAGGTTTACTTTGAGCTGTTCCGCTTTCAAGTTCAGTATTTTGTATGATTCAAACACTAGTTGACCTGTTTTAGCAAAATATTTCTCCACTAATCATGGCACTATTTCTTTTTTAACCATTTCTTACAATAATTCTTTCATGCGTGAAGCTAATGTTTCGAATAATGGCCCACTTTAATTCGCATTCCATATTTATCAATATAGTATTTTACGGTACAATGAAGGTCTATTCACTTAGTACCTTTTCCCGATTTTGTGGAATGATCGACACTCGCTGTGAAGGCGTACTGTAATTTTTTTTTCTACCACAGTCGTTTCTCCTGATTTATATCCAATTTAAGCTATATACCTCACTGTAAGAATAATATGTATACCTACACAAACACAAGTGTATACATATAAATTTAATATAGTAATAGGATACATTTAGAATAATAATAATAATGAAGTGTACGAATACTTTTGACTTGTGTTGTTCATCGATTATTTTGAATAATTTATTTATAGGTCAATAACGTTGTGTTACCAAATATATGACTTTTTATAAAATAATTGTTTTTAGGTAATATTAAACTGTTTTATTATTTTAAGTTGTCTCCTACAAATAATAGCAGTATTTGTTATTTTTTATGTTTTATAACTACTGTATAAATACCTTTGACCCTGACTGTATATACAAACATTTATTTAACGAACGATAGTAACTTCGGTCAGTTTTGTTGATTTAGATTTGGATGTGTATGATTTGTTTGAAGATTTATGTTGGATATGAAGTTTATCAACTCGATTTTTTATCACACCATATATTGCTTCTTAGTACAAGTTACAGTCGTATGTCTAGAATGAAGAATGTGTTTGAATGTTTGTGAAGTTTGCTCCTCAGTGTTTAATGAACCTGTTCTTGTCAAATGAAATGGAAGGTCCATGCTCCAATGATGCCTCCTTATTTTTGATATTATTACTATATTTTATTTTCAATTTAAAGTACTTCTGATTAAAATTAAATTTCATCATTCAGGTTCACACTGATGAGATAAAAGTTTGGAAATATCAGGATACAAAGAAAAACTGATGTAATAGCATGAATATTTTTTAAAAAATATTCTTCTTCTGTACAGTCCTCGATACCGTATAAAAGACCTAACGAATAAGGTATTTGAAACTTGAAAACCAATTCCAAAATGCGAAAATAAACTTTAAAATAAACATCTTTTAAGCTAAGAAAATCAAATTTAACGGATACGTTTTTAAATTCCATACACCCTAAACCTGTGGGACAAAGTTGTTGAGAAATTTCACATTTTTTAAATATTTGTTTGATTTATGAAAAATAAAAAATAAAAAAATCATTTTTTTGTCTCAGAAAGGATCTTTTTGTACGTTGGCATTGCTCAAAAGAACATTCGTGGTTCATTAAAACCTCACATAATCTTTGTGAAACACTTGAAACGAACGAACAATATTACACTACATTGCGACTAATAAAGGAAATTGACTTTCCTTTTGTTGATATTAGCGTTATTAAAATACAAACTATCATGACAAAAGTAAATAAATAATGTTAATTCAGATGCAAAGGTCACTAATTGATTAATCTAGCTAAACTGTCTCTGAACATATCATTGTATATGCTAAACAAAAATCACTCCTACTTTTAAATGAAAAAATATTAGTGAAAGATCTTGTCACTTTAACTACCTCTCATTATTAAGAATTACGAAAAAATGGTAAATATAAGTTTTGAAATTATTTGATAATTAAATGAAGGAGAAAAAAATAAAAATCCTAATTCAGGTCGGAAATGAATCTCCGGAAATACTAGTCATAAGGTATACGTATAATATATCGTTGGAAAGCGAAGAATTTTAGAAAAAAGAATATCTTACATAGAAAGTTGTAGAAGGTAACGGAGAGTGGCGACAAAATTATAAATACTAATTTTTAAAACTAATAATATTTAACGTAAATCACACTTTTTCAAGGAAATTAAATGAAATTTACTAACTAAATGTAAACTTTTTAGAAAATTAAATTAGTGAATAATTTGATGAATTTTTCTTTGTGATATTCCAACAGTATCTGTCTATTTTGATCTGTCTATAACAGACATTGCAAATCTCTTAATTCTATTTTAGAAAACTTTTCAATGGAAAATAACAGTTAGATAACTAATAGTCGTATAATCCACAATCAACGGAACGTACAATCCATAATCAACCGGTGATATAATAAATAGGACTTTTATTATTTTAATGGTGTTTATGACTTGTTAGCTGTAAGCTTTTAGCTTTAGCTCGGTTCAAAATGTAAATCAAAAATTTATAATAGCCCAACATGGCTAATAATAATAATAATAGCCCAACAGAAAATAATTTCTATTCAAAGTTGAGCGGTAAGTGAAAGTTGTGTGTTGCGCGCACCAGATTTTTTTCTAATCTTATCCATAAATATGAAAAATAAATACAAAAACAATTATTTTTCATTTACTGAACCGATTTTCTAAATTTTGTTTTCTTGTATAATTGATTTATTTAAATTATAAGTATAACAAAGTTGAGCGGTAAGTGAAAGTTGTTTGTTGAGCGCACCAGATTTTTAAATAATGATACTGATATTGTAAAACATTTTATTTTTATTTCATGAATATTTACTTATTATCACCTTCAAACGCTACATGCGAATCTTCCACTGCCTGAAACAGTGCTGGAAGTCTTCGTTTGTCAGCTCCTTTAGGATGCGTGCTGCTTTCTCTTTCACCGCTTCAACGGACTCAAATATTGTTCCTTCTAATATCCTTCCTTGTCTAAGAACCAAGGCCAGGGGATGCTTAATAAACATACAACAGCGGTTGAGTATTAACGAAAAACCGTCTTTTTCTATTAGTCCGGGAGCCTGTGGCAAAAAATGTGAATTATTTCGTAAGGTTTGTCCTTATAAATTGGCTACGTCCACAGGCATGATGAGAAAAATGCACATAAGTATTTTGTGGAGGTTTCCATGGAAACCCGATCACGTTTCTTTAGTTTCTGAACATTTCAAATGCTTTTTTTAATAGTAATCGTTAATTAATTTAATAGTAATTGTAATCAATACCAAATATAAGACTAAAAAGCAAATAAACAATAATAAATCTTAATCGAACTAATATTAGAGAGGAAAATTCAATTATTTTTTGACTTCGCACTTAAGCCAAAAGAGAGAAAAAAAGGGGAACATCCCCCCCCCTCTAAAAATCTTGGTTCTTCCAAATGAAGTGTAATTTTTACAATTTACATTCTAACAACCAATGTTGTCAGTATATATTATAGTTCTACTCATAACATTTAAAATTTTCTTTTTGTTATTGATGGTTGTGGATATTTATGGCACTGGTGGGAAAATTCATTGGCCAAGCCGGTAACGAGTTCAACCCTGTAGACGCTCTAATTTTTATAACCATGATGAGGTTATGGGTCCCGTTTGAATGCATTAGGATAAGCTAATATGATACCACATAAACTTCTTCCTGACCTATGTTTGTGTATAAAAATATTCATAGTTTCATGTTGGACGTTACCGTAGTTAATATAACGGATATTTGATGTAGGAGTGGGATTTATTTACACGTCATGAAGGTTTTGAAACCAGATTGGATCAACCATAATGGTAAGTAACTCTTTTCTCATCGTAGGTATTCTTCTTTCCGTTATCAATACTGGATTGATAGTTTATCTGTCTTCAAATTTAACTTTTTATTCAGTTGAAGAAGTTGTTCATAAATCAGTGAAAGGTTACCTTTGGTTTTTCAGGCCTCCCCATTTACTCCATTGACATACACCCTGATGGTTCTCGCGTGGCTACCGGTGGACAAGGTAAATTTTTCGTTATTCATCTGTAAATGCTATATTATCTCATATGTTAAGATGTGATAACTAATGTTGATAACCTGACAGTTGTTATGGCATTCCTGATTATGATTTATGTTTATATTTCAACATCAGTTAATAGTTCTGTGAATTTTCTGTTATATTTTAACATAAATTATGATCGATCTCTCCCAAATAAAATAAATAATAATCTTATTTATCAATATGAAGAAAATCTTATTGTTAGTATTTTTAAAAAGAAATTTATTATGTGTTTTGAAATTACATTTAATTTCTAACTTTAATCTTTGTGAAAAAAAAGACATGTACTCTTCAATACGACATAGTAACAAAGTGTTATTTTTATATTAGAAATCAGTTCAACTTATCAACAAAAGTGAGAGTGCTCCATATTCTTATATCTACTCTCAAATGTTAATTTAAGTATATTACCTGTCAAATAAATTTAAACAATTTTCTATTTATTTCATTGTTTTTAATTTTTTATTTACTTGTATTCGAATGCTCTAATAATCTGTGATTGTTGCCTTCATTAAGTCTGTGATGCATCCACAATAACTGTTACAAGCTCCCAATTTGATATGGTGTGATATGAAAAACAGCAATATTTGTTCAATTTATTCTAATTGTTTATATTTGTTGTCCGTTAATCTACATGTTTAATAAACCTCAATCGAACCCTTATAATTAAAAACATTTCTCTGTGGTAGTGAAAAAAAAGCATTGTGTAATATCCTCGACTAATCTTGATTGTTTACTTTGAAAACTCAGAGTGAATCCAATCTCAAAGGTATAATGGAGCAAAAATTAGATAATAATCATAGTTAAAACTTAATTATTTTTAATATACTGATGATACTATAATTTATAATATACTGATACAAGAAAAGTCTATTGTGTTTATACACTTTTGAATTATTGTTTTATATGACTGTCTAAACCACTCATTTATTATAAATTAGGAAGAAAAATTTGTAAAAAGTACATTTTAAATGAATTTTTTATTTGTTTCTCTTTTATATTTTAGCGTCTTGTTTATGTAATGAATTGGAATAGAATTACTTTTTAAGAAACTAAGAAAGAACTTGACATTTTGCTTTAAATTCTCCTGATTGCAAATAATATTTTATCTCAGAGACCTAGATTTATGTTTATCAGATTTTTTTTTTATAAAATTGTTACCACATTCCAAAAATTTGTTTTTTCACATTTGTTACTAAAACCATTATAGCAACAATATAGTGATTTATAAAATATTTAATAGGGTTCAGAATTTGGTTTGTAAGGTGTTTTGCTCAGTTACATGGGCAGCGATTTTTGATGGTTTTGTAATGAAACCCATGAGTTAGTTAAGTATTTTAATATTTTGTAGTAGAATATCCTGTATTATATATATTTTTACAGAGGATTAGTAAGATTAATAATCTGGTGAGATGGGTGCATCATACAACTTTCAGTTTCCAACCTCAGAGTAGCTGATATTTTCATATTTAGGGAAGATAAAGTAAAAACGAATATTATTAATGATTGTGGAAGAAAATTGATCTTTTTAGAAAATTCTCAGTTTTATCGAAAATATTTATCACTTAACTCATCGTAAAAATAACTTAATATTAGTAGATCATCAACATTTCACCAATGAAAATCTTATTGAAAAATCATGGATAAGTGACAAATAAAACTTTAATAACCAATTCGAAAGCCGTGTACGGAGAATTATCTGTAAACGGAGAGGATTGACAAAAGTCGGGCACTCTTGCCTGTTTCTGTATAGCTTTCAACCCTTATTTCTCCTTTAGTTAAGAATCAATTTTCTTCGTTCATTATATTTCACCATTTTTTATATTAGTTTCCGATGTAAAATGGTTAATTATTTCAAATTAAAAAAGTGAAAGGTACTTTAGAGGGGGAAAAAATTAGAAATTAGGCATTTAAACATGGTTAGAGAACATCAATAAGTATGAAACCTACATTATATTAAAACATGCTTAATTTTACACTTATATTATGAATTTTATCAAAATCATAAAATCCATTTACAAGAAAATTTTAAAAATGTTTAAAATTAATAATATAAAGTGACATGTCCGGTTAACCGATTTTAATGAAAAAGTTGCTGTAACATACCAGGCATGTACAAACCTTAATACGCAATTTCAGTGCTATACGATTTTTCGTTTTTGAGCTAGACTGATCACATATGTACACACACAGATCATTTTGCAGAACTTGGTTATTTGGAATTACGGAACCCCAAAGCATGTATTCTTCTTGAAAAGTCAGATTCGAAAATTTTCACTATCACAATACTTTTCCTTATTTATTGCATATATAGGTAAGTGAAAGTAAAAACGACTTAGGTGAAACTACAAAACAGGAAAAAATTTAATTTCTAATGTTTTTAGATTTTGTAAATTTGTTATAAACTGACCAACCACTTGTTGAACATAAATCCTTTTATTGATCCTAAAGTAATTATTGTTACGGTTCAAGTATAATTGTATTTTTATATTCATATTCCACACTTTGTAAACTAAATTATTTAAGAACTGGAATTGACCTTTTGAGATTTCAGTATCTTCTGAATTGATAGTTTTTCAACCTAATATTTGTAATTAAGTATTTACTTTTAGTACTTCCACTACACTATTTATTAATTTTCATTTGTCAGTAAAATTTAGGTTACAACAATAAAAATGCAAAAAGTTTCAAAATCTTCTGATGGATATTTGCAAAAATAATTGGTGGAGACTTGGTGGTGTGATGTGATGATCTGCCAGTCCATAGCTTATAGTGCTGATTCTTTTTTAGCTTGGAATAGTCTTAACAGCTTCAAAACTTTTATCAAAGAAGTATCTTTCTCACCCTGTCGTCCCTTAATAAAAATATTTAGTTTGAAATGTATATTTTTTAGGCTTTTATAAATGCATGTTTATAAAGTAGAGCTGGAAGAAGTTTTAGAGTATCATGTTTGACAACCTGAAATATCACTTTATAGTGAATTCAAACAATACCCAACCTGGTAAACCAACACAAGAGAAAAAGTCGAGACTCATTCTATTTCATTTATTCATTCCAACATGCTCACTTTCAGTTTTATCTGATTTTATTGTTTTCAAAATCTTCTCCATGGCTATGTTGAAGAGCATCTGCTCAGTCAATCCCATTTTCTGAGAATTTCCAGCTGAATCATGATCTTCCATAAGACAGTTTCTGTCCACAGAATTTCTATTACAATATAACATCAAGCTGTTTTCTATTTAGTGCATTATTGATAGGCACAAAAGAAATAAGTTCACTTCATGGGTTTGGAGTTTCCATTCTTATAAATCTCTCACAGAAATAAGGTATACTTATAATATTATCACACAAAAACATTTCGATGTTTCTTTAAATGTATACTTAGATAGGGGAAAAAATATTTTAAAGTTATTGAAGTTTAGATTCTCTAAATTGAATCTTTCTGAAATTCTTTAAGATTTTGTCACAAAGTTCTAACCTGAAAAGTTTAGATTTTGTAAATTTGTTATAAACTGACCAACCACTTATTGAACATAAATCCTTTTATTGATCCTAAAATAATTATTGTTACGGTTCAAGTATAATTGTATTTTTGTATTCATATTCCACACTTTGTAAATTTCCAATGTAAACTCCTAATACAAACATAACCATTTTTCAACAACCTTGTTTTGCAATCAATTTCTGATAATTTTCCTAGGCTTCTGATGACTTTGGGATCTTTTAACATTAAACAGTCTTTGGGGTAGTTTAGTTTCATCACAATTCATTTACTTGTTGTATTTTTTAATATATCAGTAAATACTTTATTTTATTATTATTTTTTGTCTATTTAACAATTTTATCCAATTTAAATAATAAATTAACTAATTTACTTAGATTTGTTCTTATAATTTCAACCCAATTTTCAGTTTTCAGATATGCCACTTTAGTATGGTCCCTGAAGATGTTTTATCAGACCAAGTTTATATTTAGCAAAGAATAGGTTTGAAGTACATTTTGAATGTCTACAGATTTTTATTGAAATTTAGGGGTTATCTTTCTAGTCCTCAAATGTTTTTTAATGTGGCCTTAGTATGTTTTTTTTTATTTGTTAATTATAAATTTTTTAAAAATATATAAATCCTATGTGGATGAAATATAGTTAGGAAATGCAGTCGTTAATAGTGTTATTTTTATAAGGCTGACTGACTATTTTTCATCCTTATAATTTTAATAGTGAACTATATCTCCATCTGTAAACTAATTTATAGCACCTGAAAATCTAAGGTTCAACTTAAAAACAGTTTGACCTAGATTTATTAACTCATCGTGATAATGATTTTTATCTAATGATGTTTCTTTAAATTTGAAACAAATTCAAACAACTTTTAATGATTGTACCTTCTTTTTTTCTTATCTAATTATAATTATTTTTTAGGAGATGACTCTGGACGAGTGGTCATTTGGAATATGGCACCAGTTGTTTTGGAAGAAGAAGAAAATGATGAAAGCACTCCTAAAATGCTCTGCCAATTGGACAATCATCTAGGTGAAGCAATGCTTACATTTATTTCTAAACTTAGTTTTCTTCATTGGCATACCAGTTTTTCAAAGTCAGTTTTCGTTTATTTATTATCAACATAAACAGCTGTAGATTCTCTCTTAAGATTATGTGATGCATGGCAAGCATAGTGGATAGAGCATTGTTTCTGAAACCACTGGTCTGCTTTTTGCCAGATGATTTATTTTAAATAGTTATTCTTGAATCAATTTTGTTATTTTGTTTCAAAAATATATAATTATGCTTTTAATGCTGTAAAGAAGTTGCTCCTTTGCACTTGCTTGCAGCTCCTCCAATTTTACTGTCTCTCTTAAATCCCTTGAGACACCATTTAAAAATTTAAAAGCATCTTTTTTTTATTCTCTATTTTCTTAAAATACAAAAGTATATTAACAAATCTTTGTTAGATTGGAAATGTTGATAATAAAAAAAAGATTAAGGCTATTTCACATACCTTGCTTGACCAATTAGGACAAAGACAAATAAAAAAACACAAATATTGAATAGAAAATTAAATAATAAGCTTTCAGTCAAAATTTATTATGGTATAGTATATTTGGGAGGGAGTAGCTCAGTGGGTGAGCTCTGACTTCCAGAGCTGAAGGTCTTAGGTTCGAATCCGACTGATGACTAGTAATTTTTCATCAACCGTGAGTGGACCCTGGGACAAACCCAGCCTCTATGAAGTGGGTACTCTTAATTAAATAATTAATTAAGCGGGAAAACCTGGCAGTTGAGCATGATTTAGGCCCGTCATCTCCCTACATAACTGTTGGCCTTGCAACAGTACTTCTTCACATTGTACTGAACCCAAGACCCTTCATGGGTTAGTGGTACAGGATTTTTTTTTATAGTATATTTTAAAGCACAGAGTTACAAATTAAAATGTCTAGAGATGTGTAAGAAGGTGACTGATAATAAGGATAAAACAAAATTGTCAAGATATTTTTATTGGATTTTCCGACGTTTCGACCCAAACATGTGGGTCATCCTCAGGGCTACCATTTGTAAGTCGAGACAAGAGAAGGGAGTTGTTGTCTCTACTTTTTTTTTTTTTAAAGTGTATTTATTTTTTTTTAATTGAAGTAAATGTAATAAAATTTATAATACAAAGAAACGTTTTTAAATGTTTCCATATCAAACATTACCAGAAATTGGTTAATAATAAAAAAAAAAAAACATTTCAAATGAAGAATGAAAAAATATGACACTATATCTTGCCGAACTTTCACAGTCCAATGTTTTTAAGTATACTGTTATATATCTAAATACCCCTTATAAAATACTTAACTACCAACAGGTGTAATGCCCACATCAATAACTGTTCAAAGTCTTAATTGGGTTTAGTGTGAAAGAACTTACTTGATAAAAGCAAATTAAGAACTGTTCTGAAATAAGCATATCAATCAAAGTGAGCTATTATTAAAGACTTAAGCCGTCTGATATCAAGCAGACTAGTATGCTTTAATGACCTGATACAACTGCTGGCTGCTTAATTTGTCGGTAAAATATTTGTGGAGTATATCAAAATGACTACTTTTCTATGCTGGTGTGAAATGTGGCCACTAACTGTGAAGGAAGAACATCTTAAGATTTTAAAAACGAGTTTTTACATAGAATATTTTCTCTGAGGAAGAAAGAGTGTACTGAAGCAATTTATATTCCAATAGAATTGGAGAACACGTCCCTATTAATATAATTGAAGTGATAGTATCACAAATTTCTGGCCATAGTTCTCTAAAAAAATTATTTTCTTTACAATCCTTTTATTCTTGCCGATGTTTCGGCTTGTTTAGCCATTTTCAAGATATGAACTGCAAAATTTTTGATAATAATAAACTTTAAGTTGCCCAGACAATAATATGTCATATAGACGTATCATAATGACATTGACCCCTATATGATTAGGCCATTTCTTGTATCCTATTTTTGTATGAAAAAATAATACATTTATTTTTAGTGCCCCTTCGTTTATTTAATTTTGTACTTTACCTTTACAGCTTGTGTTAATTGTGTACGATGGAGTGGATCAGGGAAATTTTTAGCCTCTGGAGGAGATGACAAACTTGTGATGGTGTGGTGTATGTCAAAATCACTAGGTACGTTATTAACAATTAATATATATTAGCCTTTCATTCATTATTTTTAAAACTGGGAATAAGTAGACTTCTATTTAGAAGTAAATAAAGAGATAAATTGTTGTTTAAAGCCCTTATTTATTCCAACTAAGGCAGTAAAGGCAGGTTATTCAATGGTTTACCAACCTATTCCAGCCTCAGTGAGAAAATTAAGATTTATTTTCTAGTTCCATCATGAAAAAATGTAATCTACTCCATTTCTGGGTTAAGAATGTTGAAGTCATGACCCAACATGCTCGACCATCACGGCCTCAATAGATAAATTAATTTTACATATTCTAAGGTCAAAAATGTGTATCATTAATTAACTATATTTAGCTTTTTCAGTCAGTAAACCTTAACGTTTCATGGATATCACCTAAGTAATTGGTGCTTAAGTATTCTATTATGAATTTGTAAATATTAACAGAAATCCATTTAAGTAATATCTAATACTTTTTTTGTTTTTTGACAGGCTCCAATGCACTGTTTGGATCTAAAGGGAAGGTTAATGTAGAAGGTTGGCGGTGTGCGCACACACTTCGAGCTCATCAAGGTGATATTCTGGATATGGCTTGGTCACCACATGATCTGTATCTTGCAACCTGTTCTGTAGATAATACAATTATAATATGGCGTCCAGAAAATTTTCCAGGTAACTTTTTTTTTAATATAAATTGTTTTCGTATTCCATGATTCGACATGGATTGATGCTGGTTTAATCTTATAATTTTATGCCCTTCATACTAGCTTGATGTTATTACAAAATTATATGATACTTTTACAAATTTAGAAGTTAGTATTTTAAGAGACTTACATGCTTTATACGGAATTTATTGTGCAGTGGTCTGGAAGGAACGTACAGTTGCCTCGAGGAATACACAGTACTCTTTTGGAAATTAAGTTTAGATAGTTTATTATAATAAACTATGAGAGTAACAGCTGTCTACCTGATGGCGGACCAACCCCCATTTTACAAATTGTACATCTGTTAATTTAATTGTACCACTCGTTACTGAAATAGTATGGTATAAGTGTCACTTAGATGTATTCTATAGTTCAGAGATTATTATTTTTTACCATCATAAAATATACGGAACGAAACCACAGTTCGGACAACGAATTTTTAATTTTTTTTAAAAATCTATATTGCATATTGCGCCTTATTACCAATTTGTAATCGTAATAAGGAATAAATCATTCTGAGAATTAGAAATGTGATGTGTTTTATGGTCTATCCTGCTCATATCTTTTTTTTGAGGTGTGCACTCTGTATGTATAAAATAAAATAAGACAGTCAATAAAAACTTTTTTATATAATAGAGGGATATGATTTACTAAACCTTGACTTTTTTTCACTATTGAAATATTCATTTACTTCTTTGAAACAAAAGATCTATTTGCAACCTATTGTTTGATTTGATATGTTGGTATGTTCATTCGATGCAGATTATGCTGACTGAAATAATTCAATAATGATAAAACCAATAACATAACATTTATCATGATGTAGAGATGGTTGACCGTTGATATAACATGAGAAGGAGTTGATCGGGGGGGTGCGGTCAAATTAATACTAAATTAAATAAGTAGAATTATTTAATTTAGTATTAATTTGGCCGCACCCCCCGATCAACTCCTTCTCATAACATTTATCCATTTTTAATCTGCTTAGATATATTTGTTTTAATCCACAACTTTACGTGCCAGTTTCAACCTCTGCTCTGTAACTATTTCCAATTATATCATCAGAGTACATGCTCTTGTAATCCTGTATATTTAGTCTCATAAATACCTCATTTGGCTTTATATTTTACCATTATACATCAAAGTTTGTTTTTTAGTTTTTCAAGTGAAAACTTCTTTAGGCGCATTTTGCACTTGGAGAGTGAATTAGATTGAACCGTCAGATCTCCGATGTGTAACGCTCAGATAAAGTTAGCTGAAGTCATTTAATTTCAGTGTTTTTGCATATGGATTAAAATATCTCAAAAACTAAAAATCGGACCAGCATATTGTTACCAAGGAAAATGTTCAACATTTCATTCTCTTTGCAATGAGTACTAAAAGTTGTATTTCTAACGTGACACCGTGTTATAGAGGCAAAAAGAGAAAAAAATAGTATCGAAAACCAAATAACAAGTTTTATTGAAGATATGGATTAAAATATCTCAGAAACTAAAAATCGGCTCTGCATTCTGTAAGGAAAGGAATTGTTCAACATTTCATCCTCTCTGTAATGGGCTATTATTAAAAATTTTAGATTAACCCAACGCCATGAAAGGGATCTGAAAAGAAAAAATCGTTACGACTTGAAAGACTTAAGTTCCATAATGGTATATACCTTCTTCTAAAATCAAGATTAGTAGAAAAGCCAATATCTACATAACCTTCATCAACTTTTAACAAGATGGTATTATCAATCCCTTTCTTCTTTATTGAAATTTATTAACAAGGGTATTCATACACTTGTTAGAAATGCTTAATGTGCTATCATGCTAAGCAGTCAGCACGAATTCTGAATGAATGGTAAATAACCTGTCTGTGCTAAGGTGCTAAAGTGTTATTAGTTATAGTAATGTTATGCCTGTACTGTAAACAAATTTTTTAAGTTCTCAATTGATCTAACGTTTTGATTTATTTTTAAAATGCCAAAGCGAAGTGCAAAGACTGAGTTGCTGGATTATTTAGTTAAAAATGTTTTATTAGAAAGCATGAATGAATATTCATATGATTCATAAGGCAAAGAACTTGTTGAATACATTGATGACATCCTAGCTTTCTTTACATTCCATTTCTATAGATATTGTACACAAATGAAGAACAAAGACTTAAACACATCAAAACCATACAATAACATTCTCCATGCGTTTACGAAGTTGGCAACAGTTTACAGGATCCTAGGCTGCGTTAAATTCAAGAGTGCTAGTGTCCATATTTATCACATTTTTAAAATAATTTCCTCTACTTTACACATTTAAGAGGTTTACAATACTTAGCACTAGTTTCATGAATACACCTAGTGTCTGTAATGATGCTTGTTCCCTGCAAAAATAAGTGATAAACATTTGTTTAGATTCAACCAAAACTGAAGACCTTTTTTTATTTGAATCTATCTTCTTATTACATTATTTTTATTGTAGAAATTGTTGCTGTTCTCAAAGGCCATACAGGACTTGTAAAGGGAGTGAGCTGGGATCCTGTAGGTAAATATCTTGGATCTCAGTCTGATGATAAGACCGTGAGGATATGGAGGACAGTGGATTGGTCTGAAGAAGCTGTGATTTCAAAACCTTTCGAACAGGTGATACATTTTGTACACAGTTGTTTTGTTTTTATAATATAGAATTTAGAATATATTGGTTCTAAAATGCTCTTTGAGTGAGTTGATTTGTAATTATAATTTAAACATATGCTTTAGTGTGTTATATTTCATTTTCATTCTATAAAGCTCATTATTTAACAATTTTAAAGAACTAGAATATTCATTTATTAAAAAAAAAAATGAAATGCGATAAAATGGAAAACTACCAGGAAATAACACTTTTAAATGTCGTTTATAAAATTTTATCCAACCTTCTGGTACAAAGACTAAAAATCTATTCAGAAAGCATCATAACGGATTACCAGTATGGTTTTCGGCCTAACAGAGGTACTAGCGATCAGATTTTTATTTCACGACAAGTGTTATGAGCATGATATTGATGTGCATATACTGTTATAGATTTTAAACAAGCCTTTGACCGAATTAAAAGAATCCAACTTTTTAGTGCATTGCGTGAATATAATATGTGGTATAAACTAATCCACCTAATTGAAATGACTATACTGAACACAAGTTAAAGTATTTATTGGCAATCAGGTTAGCGAAATCTTCCAATTTAATTCTGGAGTAAGGCAGGGAGACGCACTCTCAGCAATTCTATTTAACTTGGCGCTACATAATGCAGTTAAAGGGATCACGCCTGATGGTAATTTAGCATGCCGAACTAGACAAATATTGGGATATGCTGACGACATTGCAATTATAGGTAGAAGCAAAGCAGCAATAGTTGAGGTTCTATCGACATTGGTTGTAGAATGTAAGAAGGTTGGATTAATAGTTAACGACACGAAAACAAAGTATATGGTAGTCTCGACTCGGATTCAAGAAGGAAGCCAGATGGTTTTGTTTTCCAGGAATACTTTTTTGAAGCAGTGGAAAGTTTCACGTATCTGTGGGTGCAAGTCAATAGCGAAAACTTGATTAGCCCCGAAATAAGAGGAAGAATTGTGGCAGGCAATAGAGCGTACTTTGGTATGTTAAAGCTTTTTAAATCGACATTCCTATCCAGAGTCACAAAACTCAAAATGTACAAATCCTTGGTTTGATCAGTTTTGTGCTATGGAACCAAAGCCTGGACGCTGAAAGTAGCTGACCTGAAAGCACTAAGGATTTTAGAAAGAAAAATCATGAGACGAATTTTTGGCCCCCTATGCCTACAGAGGGAGGATAAGGACAAATAGGGAACTGGATGAACTATTGAACGAGGATATTGTACGCTTTATTAAAGCTAGAAAAATTAGTTGATTAGGACATGTGGAAAGACTGCCAGATGACAAAGCAACAAAAAAGATACTTAGAGAGGAATTTCCTGGAAAAAGGAAAAGAGGACGACTGATAAAATGTTGGAAAAGTGACGTGGAAGAGGATTTAATGAGAATGGGAGTGGTATATTGGAGGATAGGAATGAAAGGTAGAGAGGATTGGAACAAGATTGTAAAGGAAGCCAAGGTCCACCTCTGACTGTAGAGCCCTTCAGTAAGTAAGTAAGAATATTCGTTTTAGAAAAGTAATTGTATTCCATTCTTCTTCTAAAATATTTACCACCATTATTTGACTGGTTACTTACCTAATATTTTAATTTAATTTAATTTTTTCTAGTGTTCTGGCACAACCATGGTGCTAAGGTTAAGTTGGTCTCCTGATGGACAATATCTAGTTACGGCTCATGCAATGAATGGAAGTGGCCCTACTGCGAAAATAATTGATCGAGATGGCTGGTCCTGTAATCGAGATATTGTTGGCCATAGGAAAGCTGTTACTTGTGTTGTAAGCTGTCATTTTATTAAATAAGTATGACTAAAATTTTATATTAACCTTTTCTCTACTGCGAGTGACTGCCTTTACATTGATCACAGTGCTAAGTAAGAAGGCTGCCTGACTGCCGGTCTGTGCTACATATCTGTTAACTGTATTTTATTGTTTCCATCCTCCTTTTTTTATTCATACTGTCGACCGACCCTGGTGGAGTTAAAACTTTTTTTATACTTTTAAATATGTATTTAATTATGTATAGTATTCTTGGAATCACTTGTCAATACAAAGACCAACCTTACAATAGTGATATTCTACTTTTGTTTCACACCAATTTTTTTTTTTTTTAGCACAAACTACACATCTGCATCTATGTAATTTTTTTTTTTATTTTCCTTCTAAACTGCTGTTTTTCCATTTCAAAGATGGGAAGAAGAAAAAAAAATTACTAACTTATAACTAAAAAATAATTAATTCTATATGGCCATGTAACTAATTAAACTAATCATATTTGATCTAATTTCTAACTAAAATAATTAGTTAGAATTTATATAAACTGAAAGCAGTTGAGCATACAGTTGTTTAACACAGAACGCAAAAACAAGAATGTAAATAGTCGGAGACAGTCAGGGAAATCACCCATGATGGATGAGAGAAATCTCCACGCATCTATATGTAAATAAATGAATTTCTATCTGTAGGCTCTAGTTAAAAGCTTTATTTTACTAGAAAACAAGTTGAATGTAGCAAAATCTAGGCTGTACTCTACATAAGCAAATGGAAAGAAAAGCAGTGAAACGGCTGTAGCCATCATTAGTAACAGGGGCACATTCTATTGTGTCGGTTATAGTCCTTAGCGTTTATAAAGTGTTTAAAAAATATATTTCTCATGGGTAATAAAAAGTATATTTTTTCTTATCGCTGTATTTGTACTCCCTCTCAGTTGTGAATTATCACTGCTAACAACGTTTTTAAATGAGGCAGTTTTATAAGCTGAAGGCTTTTTAAATAAATCTTAAGTCAAAATTTAACTTAGAAAATATCAAAATGACAATGATTTATTTTCTTATCTAGAATCCTATAGTTGATTTCTATGATAAAACATCTAATCTTCAACTGCGACCATGAATCCTTTAAATCAGTACTTCTGAAGACATGTAATCAAGAGAAATAAATTATGTCTTATATTTATTACTGACCTACATAGGATATTGGCATATTGGCTTATTATGAGGTTGGTGTTGAGATCCATGTCATACCCTCCAAGATACTGACATCTTTTCTGTTGTTTTAAGTAGTAGTAGTGAGCTGTGTCACAATATATGTATGTATAAACAGACATATGTATTTTATATCTCAGAGTTGAATCTTTTCAGTATGAATTGCATTTCAAATGCTACATTCTGTGCAGTAGAGGGGGATGTTGGTTGGTTGTAGGGTTTGTGTTGATAAGTGGAGGGTTTGGTGGGTAATGTTGTGGGTTGTTTTGGTTGTATTGGGGTTGGGTGTTGGGGATGATTTTTAGTGAATCGGGATAGTTCTAATGGAATGAAGAGGGTAAGGTGGGGTGGGAGAGGGGTTTGGAAGGTGGGTGTAGAGGATGGGGAAGAGGATGTGTGGGGTTTGACGGTATAAGTTGGATGAGTTTTGTGGGATTAGGTAGATTAATGTTTGTTGGGGGGAGTATATTGGGGTGTGTTAGATTTGAATTTTATGTTTGGGTTGATTTGTTGATGGTGATTTTTTGGGGGGTTGGTTTGTGGTATTTGGATGGGAGTGTGTGATTGTTATGGGGGGTGTTAGGGGTGATTGATAAGGGTGGTGAGGTGGTATTTTGTATTATGATAGAGATTGATTATGGTTGATGGTGATTGGTTTGTGGGTGGGGGGGTGGTTGTATTTGGGAGGGGGGATAAGGCATGTTGGTGGGGGGGGGGGGCTGTGGTTGAAGTTTATGATATGTTTTGTTTGATTTTGGGTATTGGAAGTATGAGTGGAATAGGTGATAAGGTGCAGAGTCGTGTACTGGGTGGGATGTGAGGTGGAGAGGTATATCATGGTGGGGGATGGTTGTAAGAGTATATGAGACCAGTGAGGTGGTGTGGAGGGGGAAGGATGGTTCATGAGATTTGGGATGGGGAGGGGGTGGGTAGTATAAGTGTGGGTGGTGCTATTAGGAGTGTGGTTGGAAAAGGGAGTGATGTGTTGGGTAGGGTAGGTGGGGGTATGGAAATGTTTGTTATGGGGTGTTTGGTGGGTATGAGAGTGGGTTGGTTTGTGGATGTATTTTGGTTAGTGGGAGGGGGTGCAGATGGTGGGGTTGATAGGTGGTGAAATCTGGAGATAGTAAATTGGTATTTGAAGGAGCGTTATGGATGGGGATGGGTGAAGGTCAGGAGTTAAACCCAACCTGTAAAGAAGGGGTATCTTAAATTAAGGATAAGTAGGGTAAGGTTGTGGGTATATATAGGGTTTTAGTGATGGTTAAGCATGATGAAGCGCCTCCCTGCACGACTGTTGGCCTTGTAACATTACTTTCTCACATTGTACTGAATCCTTGATAGGTTGTTGGTAGTACAATTATTTTTTTTAATACAAAAACAAAATTAATTTAACATTAAGATTTTACAATGGTTCTCTTCAATAGTTGACCAATGTGGGACATTATTATTTCTTATCTGTGAAAAATTACATTAGAATTTGTTTAACTAATTATTTTGGTTTCCAAAGTGTAGCTTTATGTACATCTTTTTATCGGCACATTGGACCTCATACAAAATATAAATTGAAAAGTAGATTTTTAAGTAAAGTGGCTAATTATAGTACTCAGCACACCTACCAGAAAAATATGTTAACAACTCAATATCTTCATCACTATTTTTATCAAGAAACTTGACTGTGTAAATGGCCTGTGAGATTTATGGCTAATCTCCTAATGGTTTATTATCAGAAGAACTTAACTTGTGGTGATCAATAAATGTAATTGGGTAGTTAAAAATTTGAACCAATTTTTGAACTGATTATCTAGTTGTAATTTAATTAAAAAAACTTGTGGGAAATAAAATAAAAACTTTTTGGCTCAGAAGTGGATTGATGAGCTGGTTTTGAAAATTTTTGGCACTTATCGCTACTTGATGATGCTACCAGTTTCCTACTAAATGGACTTCTTCTATTATTAGTCAATTACCGTATAACTACAACAACAACAAAATTCAGCTGATGGTATATGAAATAAACATTGTATTTAATAAAACAAACAATTATTATGTTCTTCCTCTTCTGCTTCTTATTTTCCTTCCTCCATATACCTTTCAGTGTGAAACTTTGATCCATCTAATCCTATCTTGTGTAAGCTGTCTCTTTTGGACAAGATTTTTCCACCTTTTTTTTTTTTTTTTTTTTTTTTTTTTTTTTTTTTTTTTTTTCTCCCAGCTTGCAGACATTTTCATTATATGTTATTCTAGGTCTTCCTCGTGGTCTCTTGCCTGAAGGTCTAGTCTCCACCACATTTTGTGGTTCTTGGTCCTGATTCATTCTGCATATATGGCCAAACCACCACATTTGTGTAAGGTATCTTTTAATCCAGAGATCCCATGTCTTCTCTAATACTTACGTACCTTACATAATCTTTTCTCATTTTACCTGCTACTCTGCGCAGGCATTGTAACAGCATCAATTTAGCTGATATTTTTGTTATTTGGAACCCAACTCTTACTTCTGTATCTCAGAATAGGGAAAAACACTGCTTTCAAAATATAGATTTTAACTTGGTTACTTGCTTCTCGTTTGCATACCATAGTGTTGCAATTTTTTTTTTTTTTTTTTATTAAACGCCTCTGCCATTGGCTATTAGGCCATTCGGCTCCTGGCAGCCCAATACAACTCTGCTATGAACCCTTTGTTTGAATTTGTGCCGATCCCATCCAAAGTACTGCGGAAACAGTCTGTTCCTCCTCCAAGTCGCCTCTACTATTTCTCTTAGCCTGTATTGCAGGATAGATGTATACATTTTGTATACTACTAAACAGACACATATCGTCCTGTAGTTACTGCATTCATTTTGCTTTCCCTTCTTGTAAATAGGAACAATGATATTTATTTTCCAATTCTTTGATACCATTTTTGCAGTCCCATATCTTCTGAAATACGATCTGTAGAACATTTTCCATCTCTTGTCCTCCATATTTAATCATTTCTGATAAGATCCTGTCATATCTTGCAGCTTTACCAGTCTTCTCTCCTCCCAGATAGTTTCCTCTTCATTATTAAAGCTTTATAATTATGTTATTAAGTTATATTTTTTATATATTTGATGAATAAAAATTGATTGCTGTATGCAACATTACTTTCTGCTCTTGTAAAGTCTGAGAAAATCTATTATGAAGATTACAGTCAGTCAAAAGTTGTGTGCAAATTTTGGGTAGGAGTAAACATTTGGTACTCAAGCTTGTTTGATGATCACATTGCTTGATGTTACCGTTGATCAAGAAAGAGTACTGAAATGAGATCCAGGACTTGAAGTGTTAATAGTTCTTTTATAACTAGTCTTGCTTGTTAAATAATAATTTGTGTCTGTATATTTTATCTTTTTTGCCAGTATATTTTTATTTTAATCCGAGTTTGCTTGAAAAAAGAGATACAAAAATATTTCAGAAGTTATTTTTAATAAAATAATTATATTTATCAGCCTGTAATTTATATTCTTATTTTGTAGGATTCCGTACTAGAAAGGCTGTATGGAAAAAGTGATATTCTTGAAGGTGGTAATGCCTTAAATGTTGTTGAAAATCCATCATTTCTATCTATTGTCCCAGCTGCGAAAGAAAAGAGTCCATTACCTACAAACACTGTTTCTAATGGGTTAAGTACTACTATTACAAGTAGACCTCAAACAACAAAACAAATTGAAACTCGTACTTCAGATGGACGAAGAAGGATTACTCCGATCTTCATTCCTCTTTCCCAAGAAAACAAGTTTGTATTTTATTATTATTATTTTAATAGTTTTTGTTTATTTATTTTCTTACTAAATGAAAAATATTCAATCTGTATTTTTTATCTATCAGAAAAATGTATATGAATTAATAAATCATTTGATATAATGAAAAGTTACTGGACATAAAAGGCAATATGGACCTTTTAAGTGAGTCAATACTTCCAAGATGTGGAAATTTGGTATTTTGTTGCAATAATATACTTTGATATATTGAAAATATGTAAATAAAATTTTTTAAGAATCTCGAATTTTGAGTGAGTCAACTAGAGAATTTAGATACTACTTCATTGACATAATACTATTATTCTGATTAAATTGGCATTGTTGAGCAAGAATAAGGTTTTACTCATTTGGCAATGATCAATGAAGTGGCCGTTACAGGTTCATGTTCACAGAATACTATAATTAGCATACTGGGTGTTAATTCCAGCAATGTTTACCATCCCGCTTTTGGACAATTGGAAAAATCTTCATAATCCACTGCAGTAGCAGAATTAAATATATATATATATATATATATATATATATATATTCTTCATTACTTATATCACTTTGTAAGGAAAAGCTCTATGTATAATATAGATTCAACTATGTTCAAAGTAATGGTATTTATATATTTGTAAATATAGATAGAACAGTATTCATAAAATTTCGAATGTATGGACATTGTTATTCAAGTAAAACTACTATAATAACTTTTTAGTTGTCTATATGTATGAAAAATATTTTTTTTTTATTTTTAGTGAAGAAATAGCTCCGTTCGGTTCAGATACAATGCCATCTTTTTCATCATGCCAGAAATCACGCATTATTGTTGAAAGGAGAGATGATGTAGTCGTTCCTCCCAATGTAACTCCTGCAAAATCAACTCCAACAACAAGCAGTCAGATCTCAAGCATTACTTCAAATAAATCAAACACACCCAACACCAATCTTCTTAGGTAAGGTGTATTTTACATAACTCTGTTCATTATTATTCTTTTTGTATGTCAAATTTTTTTAAGTATTTTTTTATTTTGATTTATCTTTTTAGTTAATTAATCTCAAATTTTATATTGGCATCAAATCTTTATATTAGCCTTTTTTATTTATTCATTATCATGGACAATTAAAAAAGAAATTGTGTTTTAATTACAATAGTGTTCCATTAATCCTCTCTTAGTCACAAAAAATAATTAGATGATAATTGGTTACAAAATATGCACATAAAACAGGATTAGTTGTAATATTCACATGATAAAATAATATTACTTTTTTCTGCCAGCTTGGTTTTATTTTCAATAGGATTAACAAAACATCTTTGTAATTGAAACTCAAAATGTATTAATTGTACAGAATCATAAAACAAACCAAATTACTTAAATGTTTTAATTTATAGTTCTGTAATAATAAAGGTCATAATTTTTTCTGCAAAATGTATTCCATCCTTCACTAAACTTGAAAAGTCATTAATAATTCCAAGTAATATTTAATGATGTAATGCTATTCTTTTTTTTTTTTTAAGAGGCAAAACATAATTAATATTTTGTTATCAGTCCAAGTGTTACAGAAAGTGGAGGTTTCACTGGACTTGTCAGTATGGTTGAAAAAATGGAAACTAGGAAAGAAAAAGAGAAGGAGAAAAATGACTCTGATAAAACTCCAAAACTAAGTCATAAAGCAAAACGGCGGAAATTATCTGTTTGTCCTGAACCAGCGGAGCCTGAAGTACATACACCAAGATTATTATTACCCCCTCTCTCTGCCAATACAGCCTCTATTGCGAGGGTGAGTTATTTAACATGGTTATATTTTATTGCATTTTAATTTTATTATTATTGCAGTTTTAATCAATTTATTATGCTACAATTATGTTAAATCTATTTATATCTGTGCCACTTCAACCCAGGGTGGGTCTTTTGGCCTTCTGAATGAGCCTCTGTTAAATAAATGTTTTTTATTTAATATCAGTCTAATTATTTTTATTATGATTAGATCACATATCATATCATTAACATGTTATGTCAATTAAGGACATTTATTAGTTGTTAGTTATTATTGATGCTTTATTAATTGGTCTATTGTTCATGATGTATAATATTTCAGCTTTGGAGGAGTAATAACTACATAAGGATAGAAAACGGAGTACAAAAAGGTACTCATGGATATATATCAGTTATAAAATTTATTTCTCCTGATGAACCGAAACCTCTTTGGGAGATGGCATTGGGTAAGTATTTATGTATAGGCTACATAAAACATTTTAACACTGAATATAGACAAGTAAAATTGTGAAACATTCTTGTCCTGGTTATGGACCAATGAATTTTTTGTTTTTCTATGGTCTCTGTTTTTATTTTCTTTATTCGATTCATGGAATTATTTTTAAGTATATCATGATTCGTTTATTTAAATTGATTCTTCTTTTTTAATTATCTCTTTTCTAAAACATATTTTTGAGTTTATTAGGGCCAAATTCATTAGTTTTACCACCCTTATTTCTTAATTAAGCTCTCGTTTTCTTACTTAATTTTTTTTTTTTCAAAAATTCAATTTGTAATAATTGTTCTCTCTTTGTTTGTGTTAAAATTAAATTTTTTTGTTAAATATGTCTGTTTTATTATTGGAGTTTCATCAAATTGATCCTGCTCCTGTAACATCGTGTATATTTACAAATACATATATAAATTATTTGTAATTTAATTTTTTAAATGTATAATTACTATTCTACTAACGTAATTGAAATGACATTGTTTGTCTGATTTTATTTTTTAAGGTAGTGAAGTGGTTTCATGCGTGGGGACATCAACAGTTATTGCTGTTGCTACTTCCGATCACTGCCTCCGATTGGTGAGTTGCGTTGGTGGCGAGCTGATGCTTCCTCCAATCGCCCTTGGTGCTCCAACCTCAGTACTGAAACTGTCTTCCGGTTACTTGCTGGTTGTTACGACAACCGGTAGGTTATCTGTTTGGTGCTTGTCTGGTTCTGGTGAGCCACGGGCCTTACTTTCTAATGAAAGTGTTTCCCCCCTTGCCCCACAGCAAGGTTAGTTCAACATGCTTACTGCCAAGCAGTGAATATATTTCATATATTAATTATATTTCAGTATATTAAATTTCAACTTTTCCTGTACCTTTCATACTTTTATTTTATTTCTACATTTATAATTTCTATCAGGTGAAATGAGGATAAAGGATTGTTCTGTATCCAAATCTGGAGAACCACTGTTAGCTCTTTCTTCAGGGAAGGCTTACTTCCATTCCTCGCGTCATAATTCATGGTAATTTAATATTGATTCTATTTCTATAAAAATGTTTTTTTAGTTTATTTACCACTAGTGGTAAAAAAATCTTCCTTTTGTCATTTCTTCATAAAGTCTAGAATGCTTGATTATTTGAAAAGCAAAAAGCCAAATAAAGTATTTTAATTTATCCTACAAAATGTATGAAGCATGGGAAATCAAGCCCCTATTTTTTTCTGAAGCAAAAAATATCCTTATATCCTTGATTTAACAGGATTATTTGACTCAAAATTTGCTAAATGTTTAATCTTCATTGATTTTAAAAATGGGTTCAACCAGTTTAGATTTTTTTTTTTTAACAATTGATGTGGGGAGTCTATTGAGCTTTAATCGAAGATTGATTGTTATTATACTTCTTTTCTTTGTTCTTAAAACGCTTTAATTTTCTTTTCGAAACAAAAATATTTAAATTGAATTCAGTTTTTATTATATTCACTTCCTTACTGATTACTACTGACTGAATCCAACAGGAGTTGTGGGACAGGTTTTATTATTTGTTTTTTAAAATTATATGATTGGAAAACCTTTGTTTACAATAATCTATTTATTTATCATAGGTTTTTGATTGGAAACCACAATGACCCTGTTCAAAGAAATGCTCATTCAGGGTATAGAAATACGCAAAGGAGTTTATCTCCTACTGGAGAGAGTTTGCCCTTGAAGTCAATACAAGCTGCTGCACTCAATGGGTAAGTAACTTACCTGAAGCTCTTTTAATTTGTTTGTATTAATTTAAAATTAAATCTAATTTATTTATTATAATTAGCCATATCAAATGCCAACTTTTAATTTTTCATACTAGCAAGGATTTGGCTATAGATGTACTTGAAAATCAATGTTCTGGTTTTTTTCTCTTCTTAATACTGTCATTTAATAACTGGAAGCCTTCCAAAGAAAGGAATTAATGTACTTAACTTAACTTTAAAAATCAGTTTTTTTCCATGAATAGATAGCTCAATCCTCCAGATTCACTCGTCTATGCAAAAGAACCTATTCCATTGCAAATTATTACAAATCTATACTACATAGATATTGGGTTGGCAAATAAGTCCTTTCGGTTTTTATGTCACTATGATACACTTCTTATTTGATGAATTAATCCCTAAGGTGATTTGTTTATCCTGTTTGTAATATGTCAACAACTATATCTGTTAACTCTTATTGAATCTAGCTTAGTATTTTGCTATTGCATAGTTAATATGTAAGTGAATATGATTCATAACGTCATATTTTGTTGTATGATTTTAAAAAAGGTAAGCATATGCTGCAGAAGCTCATAGAAAAATTTGCAGTATTTATAGGGATGATGCCTTAGCCGAACGCACCTTTCAAAATTGGTTTGCCAAATTTATTTCATTCAGGAAATTTTGACATCAATGATGCTCAACTATGTGGTCGCCCACATGAAATTGAAAGAGGAATGTTAAGGCCATTGTTGATCAAAATCCCACCCAATCTGAGTGAGAGATTGCTATGGCCCTAAATGTGTCACACGCAAGCTTAGAAAACCATTTGCACCAAGCTCGGCTATGTTTCCAGGCTTAATGTTTGGGTCCCTTACATGATCACATAAATCACCAAAAAATATTATATCTTCAATACGACTTTAGCTATCTAAAATTTAGCAAATCTTAAAAAATTTAGCAGGAATTTCGGGCCACATAAACTACACAAAATAACATCAAAACATCAACAGGACCTTGGTAAACAAACTAGAAATGGAGATAAGAAATAAAAACCTGTAAGGAGTTTTTGTTTATTTATTCTTTATGTAGGCATTAAATCTAAAAACCATTCATATGGCTTTGAAGAGCAATAATTCAGCTTTCCAACAGATATAGTAAGATCGAATTTTAAGAACATCCTGAAGAGTTATGAATGATCGGAATGTTGTTGTGTTCCACCAAGACAACCCCAGGCCCGATACCTCATTGGTCACTCACAATAAATTATTGAGCCTTGTATGGGACCTTTTGCCCCACCCTCCCTATTTAGCTCCAAGTGACTACCACTTATTCCGGTCTCTGCAGAACTCCATAAATGGCAAGAAATTCCAACAGGAAGAGGACATCAAAAACCACTTGGATCAGTTTTTTAACAATAAACTCCAGATATTCTATGAACATGGCATTATACAGTTAGTGTAAAGAGGGGAAAAGTCATATTAAATAATGGTCAATATATTGTAGGTTAAAATTAATTTTATGTCTATTATACATTGAGTTTTATTTCACCCTGAAAAACCGAAAGGAATTATTTGCCAACCCAATACATAAAAATATGTATGAGCTATCATTTAGTCTTTTATTAAATTAAATTAGTTTTTTCATTGGCTGAAAACCTCAACCAACTTCTGTCCAAATATATTCTATAGTCAACTATTATCCACTACCATGAATAATCGTGGTAAGTTTCTAAAAATTGCCTCCAATACTCTCTTGGTTTTAGAAAACGAAAATCAATCACACAGAAGTAGCTGTAATTTTCCTTCTCAGTATTATTCGTACTAAAGCTGTCATAAAATTTGTATTTAAAAAAAAAAAGTGTTTTCATCAATGGCTGTTAATTTAATTAATTGTTTTTTCTTACATTAATATATTTTGGAATTAGTTATTATTTGTAACCTAGTCAGTCTCTGCTATAATTTTTCCCCTTCAGTGATTCATTCTACTCAAAAATGGAATTCTAGTTTACATAGTCCTTGTCGAGACCTGGCTATTATTCCACAGAGATTACTGTATTCTTCTAATTTCACTTCTATTAAAAAAAAAAAGTATGTTTTTAGTAAGACTGTAATCATCCTTGTCCAAGCCTTAATCGTAAGTTTATTTCATCAAATACTCAGATATTTTATTATTAATATTTGTGATTATTTTTCAGGACTGGTGTTGGTGCAAATAGAGGTGTGGGTCCAACATCTGAGCTTGCACCCCTTTGTACTCTAACGTACCTCGACTCACAACTCTCAGCCTCTCTCGCTCTTGGTTCCCAGCAAGAGTATAAATTCTGGCTTCTTGCACAAGCAAGGTTTCTTGTCCAGAGAGGTAATTATCTTATATTTTACTGGCTGTGCCTGATGGTTCCATTCACATTAATTATTGATCTCAATCATTATCTTTACGAAGAACCTTGAAATTATCTACGTGTGTTGAAAATGAAAAGTAGTACGAAATTGAAATTTCTTATTTAAGGCAGGCATATACCTGGGGTTTCACTGCTAGGTTTTTTTTGCTAAAATTATCTAACCGCAATTGGTACTTTGTATCATTGATTTTACACATTTTTCTTAAAACGGCTCCAACCATTTTGATTAAATTTATCATTTCATTGTAAAATTAAGTTGTCTTTAATATTAGGCATGTATTATTCTCATTGAAATAGTCAGATGGCTCTAACGCCAAATTTTCTCCCTCTAAATTACCTTTGATTTTGTTTATTGGAATAATTATCAATTTCACATTTAATCATTAATAAATGGTTAAATGTATACTATGAAAGGATTTGATAATTAACTAAAAATGTGTTTAGGGATAGTAATGAGTGATTGAGAATTCTGGAAAAAATCCTATTGCACGTTCAAGCTTGGTAGAAGATTTGAGTTGGCATCCAAACATATGTGCATAATGTGGTATATCCTAGTTGAGTAATATTCCGGCTCTAATAATATAGATATACAAATGTGCTTTTCAGAAATGCTTGCACTGGTTTTTTGGTGTTTTTTTTTTTCTTACGCGAAACAGCCCTGAAAGACTACGCGATTATGATACTGGGCTCTTCTTCAATTTCTTTCTTTCTGCCCTTCCTTGCTTGAGGATATCGCTAAATTTTTTCTTGCTCTCCTCCGTCTACTTCCTCCTGGACGGAGGAGAGCAAGAAAAAAGGTATATCCTTGGTTAAACTAGTATCCCATAACCCTGCACTGGTTTTATTTAATTATAAAAATTATAGTTCGTGGTACAGACTCTTCTTATCAAATTATTAACATCTGCCAGAAACATCGTAAATAGTTTCATCTCGTTGTAACCTACAACTATTTTATCTACGAAAACTCAAGGAATTAGAGCGTTTTCATTCTGGGGGGATCAAAATTTGTCTATTTAATTAGGTACTAAAAACATGTAAATAGCCATTTGCTTTCTACTTGTATTGTAAGATAATTTGACAACAAAATCGAGAAAAAAAGGGGCCCTTCAAAAATATTGTGGTGTGACCTTCACCCCCAAATTTTCAAAATAATGAGGTATATAGGGCATACTTATTTAGGTATATATAGGAAATACCTATTTTTACTCAAAGTAGAATAGTAAGTGAAAGATGTGTGATGCACGCACCACACCAGAGATTTTTTTATTTGTCTAATTCATTTTTAATAATCATGAAGAGATTTTATCATAACTTGCAATGAGGTCTTATCTGTTGCAATCTGGACCAAATTTCCACATTTATCAATACCTTAATAACTGTAATACTTAATTGTACTTCTCCATCAGTATAAATTTCTAAACTGTTAACAAAAAGAGAAAGTAGAAGATGCTTTTAATAAATGTGTTGATGTGTACAGATATTTTAAAGCCTGATTAATCTTGGTTTAAACACCTTCCTAATTCTTCTAATTAGTATATTAAGCCATGTCATGCAGATGTTTATATGAAATATATGAAGAGTATAATTGAAACTTTTTTTTTAAAGGTCTTGAAAAACGTTTAAAACGTTTATGTGAAGAACTCCTTGGACCTACACATACAAGTTGGAGTCATACGAGTAGTAATTGGGAGGAAGAAATTCTAGTAAGTGCCATCATAAGTTATTTAGAACATTAATATTAACAGTTATGTGTTTATAGGAAGCTGTTTCATTGATTACCGTAAAACGGTGTTACTTTAGGACATGTTATCAGTATTTTGCACTGTTTCTCTTTGGTAATTGGAAAAAATTTTAAGTTTTAAATCTATGTACTAATGTTTCGCGTATAGAGAAATTGATATCAAATTCATAGTTCGCTAAATTCAAAAATGAATTGGCCTTTTTTTTCTTCTCTGTATCAATTTTACCTCTACTTTACTTTGTTACTGGCTGTTTTCATACATGTTTTGAATTGTGTTCCATTAAATAGCTCCTCCAAATTTTAATGAATTGGTTAGTGATAATTCTTTTTGGTTTGACCAACTAAATCATGTTTTGTTTTTATTGGAAAGTCTCACATTACAATATCTGGTCTCAGGAGATAATCAAGAAGCTATGTTAAGAAAAAACATGTTCAAATAGTGTTTTACTCATAGTAAAGTGTGAACAACAAATGAAACTCACAAAAACGAAAAAAAAAAAAAAAAAAAAAAAGTATTAATTAACTCTGATAAAAAGTTTCAAACTAGGTGCACTAATCTGTATAACTTTAGAAAAAATCATTGTTTTATGTCCATAGAAAATTTATAATTTCTCTCAGCTACTTGGGTAGGGGCATGGATTCTTCCTACTATAGTTTTATGTTTGAACCAAAGCTTATCTTCAATTTTCAGCCAAACCCACCACTATCCCGGATATAGCCTTGCAAATAATTTCATATTCTCCATCATCCTGTCTTATAGCTCTACCAGAGTATCAGCATCCTTGATAAGTTATCACCAAAAACTCTCCATCACTAATTAGCTTTTCTTACATGTTGCTGCTCGTTGAAAGCAGAATATGTAGAAGACTGCTCAGCAGTCGGCTGTAGATGTTTATTTAGGTTCTCTGTCTGTGCTTCATGCTCTGATTACGATTCAAATAGTGAGACTATCCTCACTCTCTTCGAACTGTATATCCAAATCGCTTTCTGAGGATTCACTGATTTAAAATGAGGGTATATCTAGGGTTGTCAACGAAATTTCTTTCATCTTTAGGTTAATAATAGTAACAAAGTTACCCCGTCAAACTTCCCACATTTACGTTTTCATTTACCACAATTGAAATAATTATCTTACAGAAACCAAAAAATAGGAAAACAATCTAGATTATGTAGACAAAAAAAAATTATCTTGATCGATATTTTGTCAATACTATGAAACTGAGACCAGGCGAAGTTAGAACAGGTGAGTAAATAACAGGAATTCTTGTATCTCACAACAGATAACGCCACTGGATAATTTGAAACAATTGTCGCAAATATTTAAGACTTTCTTGAAAACTATTGCACCACACCCATCTCACTCGCATCAACTCAAAGCCCGCAATAGCGATTCCAATTTAAAAAACGTGATGTGACATTGTAATCCTGCATTTTGAAAGTAACCCCGTTATATGGTACTTACTTCTAGATACATTTAAAAGCAGTAGAGTATTGATGGGTTTTTAGGTTTTTGTACATAGTTTTTTATTATTATTTAGTTATTATTTTACTTTTGTTAATATTATATTTTCTGTATATATGGTGTGAATGTATTCATATATCACTATAATTATTGTCCACGTGACAGATTATTATATTTCTAAATTAAAAAAAAATTTAAATATTGCAATACATCAGTTATCAACTTTTTAAAAATGGTCTAATTTATATTGTTTATTATAACTGAGATGATGTTTTATTGGGATTGGTCAAGGACTTAATTTAATAATTTGAGGAAGCAGAGTCAAAATAAATATTTTTATTATTTTTTATAAATTTCTGTCTTTCCTTCTATACTTCTAAACCTATTATTTTTAATATGTGTATGTTAAAGTCATTATAAGACTTTATAAATTAGTGTTTTTCATAAAAATTCACAGAAATAAGGTTTTTTAAGTTATCATATTGTTAAGTAAATAAGTATACAGTTCTTGAGTTTGTGATTAAACGATAAATTGTATTCTATTTTTATAGGGTCTAAAAAAGCATTCCCTACTGGAAGAAATCCTGCAAGAAGCAGCAAGTAATCTGAAACTCCAGCGGTTGGTTACCGAAATACGCGATCAACTGACTTCTCGGTTATTTCCAATCATTGATAATGTAAATATGCCATAACAGCCATCTATTTAATATAGGTTCATTATAAAAGAAAATAATCGGTATATAAAAATGTATTTATAGTATATAAAATATTTATAATTGTACATAAATGATTAGGTAATTGTTTTACTTGTTAGAAATTAAATAAAGGCTAATTACTTGATATAATCGATAGTTTTGGCTTTAAGGAATGTTTATTTTTTAAATAAAATTTTATTTTCTTTAAATATTTTGTACTATGTACAAGTGTAGTAATAACTGTATTTGATGTTGTCATAACTTGAATTTATGCTGTGTATAGCAAGTTTAACTGCCTAAGCACAAATTTTGTTTTTGTATAACATTGTATAAATCCGTTTAAGTAGTTGGCCTTTATTTTTTGTATTATAAATTTTGGTTACCCAAGCTAATAATTTTCAGAATGCTGTACAGGCATTTTCGCTGGAAATTCTTGAGTATATGATTTGAATACATTAGGGTCCTTGAATATAATCAGATTATTTTCTACAAAAAGTTTGAAACTTTTTTTTTCATTGTTACTTTTATGCATGTAAACTTTGCCTTCCAGTATTAAATAAATATTTAATGCAACTTGATGTTATTTTAATTTCATAACGTTTTGTATTTATTGTATTTAATTTTTCCAGGTTTCTGCTTGTAGAGCTTTTTGTAATTTTTTAGTTATCATATACTTTTTATTTAGAATGTGTATATGAATATCCAATATATTTATCTGTTCAAAAGTCATCACTATTTAGGTTGTGAATGAGAGAAAATAAGAATGAATATGTGAAAATTATGGTATTAGTGTTGGCATTAAATGAAATGTTTTAATATAAGCATTATTGTATAGAAGTCAATTCATATAAATTTTTTTTATTGTAAGTAAGCTTTAATAATAAGTCTACTTAAACAGAAAATATTTTTTCTTATTTATTTCCTAATAATAAAACAAATACTTATTAGTTCATGACAAAAGTCTTTAATTTTTTTATTTAATAATATTTTTTGTTAATATATGAGGAAATAGTTTACTTAAATTTTAATTAAGTGAAATACCAGTTTTCTGAACTTGATCAACTACGTTCTGCTGCCCTCTAATATCGCCTAAACTACTAATAACATATACAAATATCACTTTAAAAAAGTTGGATAAACTGCTCATTATGTTATTCTTGTAATTCAAAGGACCCAGCAATTCCATTTTCCACACGAACAAGTGATCACCTAATATTATAAAAGAAAGATTCAATCACTTAGTAATATTAAAAAGAAATGGAAAATATTCGTTCAAGGTTGAGTAAATCATCAGAAATGGAATGCCCTCTTCGCTCCACAAAACTTGTGCAACTGTTTGCCTTTTGAGTACAAGGAATTTTAACAACAGGTACTTTATCTTATAATAGTTAATTTTATTTGCAATTCATATAAATTTGTTAATAAATAAAAATAAATTACTCTTTATTTCCCAAATGAAAATATTGCTGTATACAAGTCATTATAAAGGCTTTTAATTCTGTAAAAATTGTCTACTTTATACTGTTTTAATTAGAGTAGTTAAATCACATAAACTGAAAATTTCTTTAATTGTTGCGAGTTTATTGATTTCATTAATATGAAGGATATTTTTGTGAGCCATCATCAATCTACAATCCAGGAACCTCCACAGAGTGACCGTATTTATAAGAAATTAAAATTGAACACTCTAAAGTTTTAACTGACAAAAAATTATATGTGTGGCTGAGGAAGATATTCAGATATTTCATTTTAAATACTGTGTAATTATCTTAAATAGGTATGAAATTTAAAGTAAGTATAATAATTAGACAAAAAAAAAAGGTTGATCAAGATCTCAATTAATTTGTTTCCTAATTCCTAAAAGTTTTATTTGAAAAACTAATAATTAATCCAAGTGACTCATCCGATATCCTTCGAGCAAGCAGCGCTGATGAAGGCCTAAGACTTAGGCCGAAGCATTGGCAATAAGGAAATAAAAACTAATGTAATTTATTTATTTTTACTTTGTTCTTTCATTGACTGAAAATCCCAACCAACTTCTCTTCATAACAATTATCCACTATACTGTATTTTTTTTAATGGTTAAAATCGTTCCTTGTATTAAATTATCAAATTAAAGACGCTTTCCTTAAATCAGGTTTTTTTGGAGGGAGGGGAGAAATACCTACTCATTATATGTGTATAGAGGCATGTATAATTTAAATTTAAAATGATTCAAAATCAAATACAGCTAGTTTTTAATAAAATAAGTTATAAAATTCATATAAAGTTTTTTTCAAAGGATTAATTTATACATATTTTTTAATTTAAGTAGGTTATAAGACAAAATAATTAAAATTATTCATGATTGAAATTGAGTGATAGTAAAAGCCAGACATATCAAGTGCAACTCATTTTTTATTTATAAGACTCCATTATATTATAATTAATAAGGCCATTGGAGACAGGATATTAATAGATATTTACATTGATAATGTAAAACAAAACAGTTTCTCTTAAGGATTCTTTTATGTTTTCATTTTGCAGGATTAAATTTGAAATCATAAAAAACTGCTTATTTCATTTGATAACAGACTTTAATTTTTTTGGCTTTCGATGTGGAGCAAAAACAAAAAAAAAAAGCATATAATATAATATTAAAATTGCCAGTTTCTTTAGTTTCTCTTCCACTCCCTACCAATGTAAGAACTAATAATTAATTTAATTAGCCATTTGTGTACTACAAGAACAACCATATATCAATCTACATGTAACCAACACGTTTTATTTTCAATATGTAGCGTTTTTGCTGGCTTTTAGAATAGTACATAATTTGTTAATCCAATCTTAATAATAAATTAAATATATTAATCCGTTATCTTTTAACTTCTTATTTGTATATTATATTGTTCCTTTAATTGAAAAATCGATAAATGAAGGAGGTGTGTTCAGCTAGGAGTTTCACTTAGAACATCTTCCTGAATTTATCCATGGAATCCATATTCTAGTATAAAAAAATTTCCAAATCACTCATTCGCTTTTAGGTAAGTCAAAATTACTCGAACCAGGAAAATCCTTTCATGAGACATGAGAGGAAAAGTTGGAAAATTTTCTAACATGTTCTCTTTTGACCTGCCTATAAATAGTAGAAAAACTTCATTTATTTGATTTTATTTAGTTGAACAAATTGTATAACAAAAGATATCAAATGGAGACATTTTGTCCGTTATTTTAGAATAATAAATAAATAAACTATACATAATAAAAAAATTAACTAAATCATTCATTAAAGTGATTTGAGAGACAAAAATCTTTAGCAGAAAGAATTATGGAGAGAGCTGAAGACAATCCTGATATGAAGTAGATGACTTACGACAATGTATAAAGATAAGTATACTTCAAGTAGCTGAGAAAGTGTGTATATAAAAGTTTTTTTTTATTGTTATTATTTTAAAGGCATGACTGGTTTCACGCTGAAACTATCAGGGAAAGCTGGAATATACGGCCTGTTTGAAATATCTGAAATGGTTTGGACTTGTACCCTGTATGGACAATAAAAGAAAGACTTCTTGAAGTTCGCCTTCATGGACCGTGACCAGTTGGCCCTGAATCACTTACATGGGTATATAGTGAGACTCGGAAAAACCAAAAGATGCAGTATGGCAGAAATAAAATGGTACTCCAAGGTCGATCGACACCTTTGGCACGATGTAGATATGATAAGATACAAGGTTTCTTCTTGCCTCCCTTTAAACACTTGAAACCATGAAAATCGATTCAGACGTTCTTGTTATTTCATTTAAACATTTTAGGTGAATAACAATCATCTCCAGATTTTCAGTAATGAATATATAACAGAGTGTAGCAATGTGCCAAATGCCTGAGGGAACAAGGGGACCTCGAAATGGATGAGGATTTTTTTTTTTTTAATACACACCCTTTACACCTTAAACATCATGACTCCAAGGATACTTGAAAGCTATAGGAACTGTTTCCAACTCAAAGTTTACCTGCCCATGCTTATTAAAAGTCACTTGTATGGTGGTTTTCAGATAATCTTTATTCTATTCCTCAATCTCCACTTAAATATCTCTCATTCCAGTAACCGAGAATTTTTTTGTTGCAGCTTGCTTAGAATTGATATCTTTGTAAGTATAGCTCAAACACAAAAAAGTTTATAGAGCTACCAGATTTCTAGTTTCTTTCGAATAAACTTTTTCTGACCGATATTAAGAAGGATTATCAAAGAGAAATAAGAAATTGTTTGAACATTCCTCGAAATGGTTTGTTGTAGGGATGTTAAACGAACTATAAATTGTGGAAAATAAAAACATTGAAGAGGAAATGAACACTTCTTTTAAACGAAGCGGTCCTGATCCGAAGGTGGCAGCTCCCTCCACCAGTGCTACTGATACTTATTGATGGAGGATCTAGTCCAGCAAGTGGGCCCTATTGTAGTACTGTTTGTCAACCTTAACGGCTACATTGGGGTTGGCGCCGCTTACTTACCAGAGTGGGGATGTCTAGATTCATTTCCCGGAGCCGCCTAGAAATGAAAATTAACCGTCCCAGGTGGGAATCGAACCCATAACGTTCAGAACGGGACACTGGGACCCATGCCCCAACGTGCTCGGCCATCCCGCCCTCTTCACAAGGAAACTGGAGCACATAGAGTCAGAGGCACCCCTATCCCAACATAAATCACAATAAAACATGAACCATTACCCTCGGACTTGGATTACATAAACTGAAAATAAATAACAAATGATTTAATTTCAAATATTTTAATCCTTTATCCTAGAGCAAATAGATAAATATAACTTAGAAATTACTGCCATCCAGGAGTTGAGTTGGACTGGACAAGGTATCCTAAAGAGGAAGCGCCCTATATTTTTTCTAACAGTGCCGTCCGCTTCACTCCCTCCTCCCCCCCCCCCCAAAAAAATAAATTTACTTCTTGAGCTGTTTTATATTAAGTGACAGTTGCTTTGATAATGGGCACTCTGATAATCAGCGCCCGGAAGCTATTGCCCAGTGCTGGGTTTTAATTGCTGCGACGTCAAAGAACCAAAAGTTTGCGACCGGATTCGTTGTCAAGAGATATCTCCGAAGAATATTTATAGGTTAAATCCAATCGAGAATCTGCACATTGGGGATTTGTGGTAGGTTTTATAATTTTGATTTCCTTGGTGTAAATGCGCCTCTAGAAGCATGATATGAAAAGAGAAAGAGCAGTTTTATGAAGAACTAACAACAGCCATTGACAGTGATCAGATCATACATCAAAAGATCCTGGTAAGATATGAACATTGCCACGGGCGACATGCCAAAGAAGAAATATTTCTCAACCATTGAAAAACAAAGTCTCCATGAAATCAGTAATGATAACAGAAACCGATTCATTAATTGTACAGCCTGCAACAATCTGATCATTGGTAATACTGTATCCCTCATAAGCTATCATATAAGAGAACATGGATCTCACCGTGAATCAAATGGACAACATTCTGGTGGACAAAAGACATTTCGCCTCTATCACTGATGTACGAATAACTAGCGAGGTGAACGTTGATTCGGATCACTGGCTGAGTTTCGCCCGTAACATGGTCTGATTAATCACTCCATAACCCAAAAATAATCCAAATGTGATATTCAACAGAGATCAGATCTTGAAAATTGACGAAAAAAGAAGATATTAGGCTGTATAGGCCATAATCTACCTACATTCAGACAGAAAGGATATTAATGGTAAATGATAAATACTGATCCAGAGAACAGGTTAGAGGGTTACTGGGAGGTTAGAGATTTTTCTGATTCCGTGACTACCAGAAAAGGAACGTAGGTCACCTTCGTTTGATGAAAAACACGCTTATGATAAAAATATAGCTTACAAAACAATCAATGCAAGACAGACTGGGTGGACAGTGGGGAAATGCAGCGGAAAGAGAAAGAAAGTATAGTATTTTTTTAAAAAAAGAAAAGAGATTAGAAGAAGGGAGCGCTAGAAGGTGCAATTCAATGTTACCCACTCCGCTAATAAAGAATCCAAGGACAGCATTCTCGTAGAGACAGCAATAGACCTGTATGGACCACTAGCGGGTCCAGGATTTAATTTTGGGGGAGGCTTCAGCCCGAAGGATTTTTTTTTCTCATTTATATAACGATAATTAATTTGAAAATAAAAAGAAACTAACTACCCATATGACATGGTGTCTTAGTGATTCTTGAAGTCCTATTAAATGTAATTACACGAACAATAATAGTTTAAGAGATAGGTTTTAATATTTTTTTCTATAAAACATGGTTATACTTTACCATTTTGGGCAGGGGGGCTTCAGCTCGAAAGTCCCCCCTTCTCTCCTCCCCCCCCCCCCCCGTAGATGCGCCTGTGGTATGAACCGATGGTAGAATTATTTCATGTGATTATTGCATATCAATCACAAAAGAAGGGTCGGGAGTTTCACTTCTTCCAAAATTTCAAAGCGGCCTAAGATAGCAGCAATCTAGGAGCTCTCTTCTTCGAACAAGTGACAGAATTAATACACCTTGGTTCCCATATTATCTATGATAATAAAATGGAGATAGAGGAATATCTGCAAACTACAGTCACTTGAGGCTAAGAAGACACCACTTGGCAAACAGGTCTGCTTAGGATACTTAGGAATGCTTTATTCTCTGTTTCTGAGCGAGATCTGATCCACCGTTAATTTTTCTTTGCGGATTTCGTACTATTTTCTGAATAAGTTCTATTGATGTGGTAGAAAGCGTATGTGTAAAATATTTGAAAATATTTTGTATGCACAAACTAATACAGATATTTTTCGATAGTTTCTACAATATGACCAAGTAAATACTGATTGAATTTACCTAATTTATCATATGGATTCGATTAACCCGATGTTTAATGACATGAAATAGAACTATCAATCAATGGGAGTTGGTCTTTGTGAGAAAGGATTCACATTAAGGGGCAGGAGTGGGGTAAGTTTTAGGAAATTAGTTCCGGATTAAGAGGGAGTCATTGACTAATGGAGTTCTTGCAGGAGTGGACTCAGAATTTTATTTTTTTATTATTTTTTTTTTTTTGTTGGGGGGAGTACTTCAGCCTGAAATCTTTTTAAAAATATTTGTAACGATAATTTCTTAGAAGAAAAAGAAAGATACTAACTACCTATATGAAATGATCTTAAGTGATTCTTGGGACCATTAATAAAATGAATGTTATTAAACGAACAATTATACTTTTACAGGCAATTTTTTAATATTTATTTTATGAGACATTGTTATATTAAGTAGTTGTCTACCGGGGTGCCCAGAAGAGGGTTTGATGGCGCAACTTGGTTTTAAGAAAAGGTCAGCAATAAAATATCTTACGCTATCGATATTGGGAAGGATGACCACCTCTGGCTTCATCCTTATAATATAAAAATGGAACACATCGTTATTGTTTAAGTATTTAGTTAAAATCATTCACAGTAACAAAAAAAGGACAAAAATAATAATTTTTCCATTTTGGGGGCTTCAACCCGAAAGCTTTCCTCCTCCCTCCTTCCCGTAGGTCCGCCAGATGCTCCCTGTACAGAATCAACTTAAATGAAATAGCTTTGTTCGTACTTAATGGCTGTGTAATTTGTGAATGATTATTTAAATTCCGAATTAATGTTGTATATTGTTTATATGTTTGTCAGTCTATCACTTAGTTATTTTGAGGATATAATATATAGCTGGCTGATCTGTTTGGGTATTGAGAATAAGACCTGATAAGATAGTGATACACGTTTAAAATTATTCACTCGACTTATTAAGTAATGAAACAGCAAGTATTAACCATTAATTAAAGTTGTATTATTAGTAAACAAGAAAAAAAATAACAGCTTACACACCCTTCCCCCCCCCCCTCCACCGACCCATAATCACGTTTTATACCAAATAAATCTGATTACAGTATCAGTGAACATGTGAAACCTGTGGTGGAACATACATTATACTATTTTTGAAATAATCTTATATTAAATTTTGGTTAAACAATTGCTCAAATAGGTTGTATGTAAATAATTTTCTGGTTTAAGACAACTTCAGTAACTGTGCTAAAAAAATATCGCAGATTCTTAATGATTTAATTATTAATAACTCAATTTAACGAAATTTAATTAAAAGTAAGTTAATGGAAATAATTATAATTCCTAAAAATACTTATTTTATTTCAAATATAATAAATGATAATCCCAAATTATTATTATTCATTTGTTTTTAAAATAATTTATTTTAATTATATTAATTGGCGTTTTATTGCTACGCTTTTTCTTTTAATTTTTTTGTTAATTTTGTTTTCAAGATTTACAAGGTTTTGGAAAATAGTTCTGCTCACTAATTTAAATACTCATGTCCCAAGTAATATGTTGGTAGCATTGCTAAGCACTAGTCTCCTTAGTTTGTTGTTGTAATTTTGTTTAAGTTAAAGATGACCGCGTAAGTATGGTTTAATTCTCTATAATTTTATTTTTTTTAAGCAATACGATCATTGTTCTCAAATATTAGTAACAGTTTCTTTTAAATTTATTTTAATATTATAAACTATTAACCGTGCTATTCTGTTTTCCGCCATAGTTGTTTCGACTGTATCCCGCTTTTTATTGATTAAACTCCTTGTGTCTATTTCACATTGTTTCACCTTAAGTGTAACTCTAAACTTACCTTGAAGTTCAGTTCTCTCTCTCAGTTGTTTTAATTTACATTTATAACATTGTTTCTTTATTGCCGGCGTCTCCTTTGTGTTGACCGCGCTTAAATCCATCCTTTGTTTTTCCACCTGTATTATATTAATATTGTTTGGTCTATACTTGGAAAATGGTTCAAGTAGATTCTTGGTAAGCATTGATTAAAATATATTTATATTTTGAATATCCTTTTAGTTCACGTGAACGAACCTAACCTTAACCTTGAAGTAGGCACTATTAAGACCCATGTTAATTCTTTTAATTAGTCAATCGTTTTATAAATAGAAATTTCAAATTGAGTAATACATTTGCTATAACAGCTATGGCTTAGTTAAATTTTATTCATTATCTTTATTCTTTTTGGGTATTGTAACCATTGCTAGATAAGTTTAAAGAATTTGAATATTTATGATTGCTACTACAATTCTCACATTCTCCTTCTATTTTCTATGCATTTAATATTTTTTTTATCACCAAGTTTAGTTTTAAAGATTTATATTATGCTTGATCACAGTTAATTGTTGGTTTTTAGGGGCCAATGAGTGATCTTAATGCATTTACTATTTAACAAGATATAACCCTACTTTTTTGTTCAAGTTCAGTTAATCAGTTGAAACTATGTATGGTTTTAGATTATGAAATGCAGCATTAATAACTATTCAGAATATACAGGGTTCAATTATATTTTTGTAGGATGTAATGACTGCATAGATAATTGCCAATGGATATGTTGTAATTTATTAGTAAATAGCTAACATTTTATCATGACTTAGATTGTTAATCTAAAATAGAGTTTGATTCTGTCTAAAAATATTAATTTATCAGATTGTTTTAAGCTATGCCATGTGCCTTAAACATTGATTTTTTTGTTACTACTTTTACTCTTATGATATTTTTAAAAATTGGTGCTATAATAATCCAAGATTCATATTTAGTCACTGTCCAGGTACTTTAATATTTGTATTATCATACAATTTTTAAAATTTGTATTTCATATATTCGTGAAATCTTATTTGCTCACTAAATAATAACCCTAATTTGTTTATGATACCCAACATTCTTTTGGTATGTTGTTTCAAAACGTTAAGTTTTATACCAAGAAATCAATCAGTTCTTTTTTCTTTGAACTGATTTTATAAGTCGGAAACATAAAGTCTTGTCATATCTTAACGCTTCTGTTCTTTCAAGGTGTTAATACCATTTGTTTTAGTTTCTACTGTTATAAAGTGATTATTAATTTATGTCAGTAATGTAATAGAACATACAACATACATACCTATAATAAAGATTTCAGTTTCGTAACTTACACAAAGTTTGGTTTGCAATGGCATTAATTCTTATCGGTGTATTCTTCCTTCTTAATCTTTCCTGTAATTCCATGAATGTTGAGGCCTCCATCCTTTGCCAAAATGTATTTCGTAATAGCTTTTGATCGAAATGAATCAATTTATATTTGTCCTAGATGATGATGGATAATAGACGAAAGCTCTTGCTACTTTTCTTTCTTAAGAAATGTCACTGCCTCTGTTATCATTATTTTTTAATTAAGGCCTTAACGTACTTCTACCATTGCTTTAAATCTCTCATTAAGATATTCGTTTATGTTCTTAAGTATAACCTAGTAATATACTTAAAATTAAAGTTAAACAGATGTTAAAAATGAAATGTTGGTCATTCAGTTTTTCTGGATTCTATGTTTAATGTCTATTTCTGTATAATTTCTTGGTTTTTATTAGTTTCTCATCATCTCATGTCATATTGTTAAAACCGTATATGCTATCTAATATTTCAGTTTCACAATCCTACTTATTCTAAATTTAAAGTCTTATTTTCTTTTAGTACTGTACCCAGTGCAACCAAAGATATTTCTATTAAACTACGAAAAAAAACTCAAATTTTATTTGTTTTGTGAGTAATGTTAAAGCTTCATTATTACGTATTACAGTACTGATTATTGTCGTTCCGCTTTAATGGGGGAATAGGCTCAAGGCCCATGATTACACTACCAGTGGAATGCCAGGAAGGCCGAGACATACTGAAAGTCCCTATTATCATTGATCTCACTAAATTTAATCCCTGTTTCTTCAAAATAATTTTGTCTACTTTACGATGGTGTACTAAGAATTTAATTATCTTGAACAAATGTGACTAACTTTAGAAAATACAAAATTGGTTTTAACTGCTTTTCTGTTCGGAATTGGCCTATGTATCAAATAGACTTTTTTGTTGGAAATTTTGTCTGGAATCCTCCCTCTCCCTCAGAGTTTAACCATTAAGAACTGAGACATCCTGTATTTTTGTAATTTCAATTTTTAAAAGTCAACTGAAAATCTTATTAAATGGATTTTATCTCAAACTAATCTTGTAATCGATTTTGTGTATTATAATATTTAATAAATTATATTATTTTTATTAGAATACAATATCTCATAGTACTGTACTGTTAATATTGAATTGTGTCTATTGTTTATCTGTTATAGTAGAACTATGCATTTCATTGTTTTCAAACTAATAATTAATTTATTTTGCAGCGTGAACCCTCCACCTATTATGTGGGCGCAGCGCCACGGTATAATTTTTCTGACTGTGTGTCTGGAGGATTGTAAATCCCCAGAAATACGTATAGAACCAAATCAGGTATATTTTAAAGGTACGGGTGGTACAGACAAGAAAGAACATGAAGTGACCATAGAATTATATAAAGAAGTAGATCCCGAGGTAATTAAATAATTTAAGTATATTATTACTTTTGTCCAGTTATGCAATCTTTGATATAATTTTTTCTTCTAAGTATATTTTAATGATTTATGTATTATCTATTTTAAAATTTAGAAATCCATCAAATCAGTCAGAGATAGAATTATAGAAATTGTCCTAAAGAAGAAAGAAGACACTTCGGGTTATTGGCCTCAGTTGACTAAAGAAAAGAAAAAGTTCCATTGGCTCAAAGTAGATTTTAACAGGTAAAATTTAGTTTTCTTTTTAAAGATTGATTTATGTTGCTGCACGATAACTCTGGATTTCATTACATGTTGTGCTTTATTCTATAAAGGAATGGCAAAGTGATATTAGTTACTTATGAATTATAGGAAATTTAAGTAGGTCACAGAATTATTTTTATACACTATCTGAAGTAAATATTAGAGATTACTTATCCACTAGATTTTATTTATACTTTAGGTTGAATAAGTTCAGATTTGATTTTAAAAGAATTTTTTTTTAATTTTTTTATTAAAGATATTACAAAGAGTTATGTTACCTTGGGTATTCAAAGAAGATTTAGCTTTTAGACATACAAATTTAATGAAATTGATTTTAGTCAGTCAACTAAATATAAATAAGCCATATTTTTTATTATATGTTTAATACTAAAATGTAACAGAATGGAACTATAAAGTGCATAAATATTACTTTAGAAGCAAATGGAACAAACAATACATAGTTTGTAGAAGAAAAGATGGCTATTTTTGCCAGGTATTACAATTCTAATATAAACAATTTTCTAGGTGGCAAGATGAAGAAGACAGTGATGATGAGGTTGGAGGAGGTGGAGACCTTGAAGAAGTACGTATAATTTCTTAAATTTTATTACCATTACTTAACTAAGTACAAGTTGGGGCTCTGGCTACGTATCTTGGAAATTATAGTTTGAGGGAATTATTCACAATAAAACAAATGGCAGTTTAATATTTAGTGTTTGCCGTCTTCATCAGGATCATGGCTATGAACAAAATCCGACCCAAGTTGTTTTTTATTTACATATCTTAGAATTTTTATATTTATATGTTCTATAGTACTAATGAATACCTGCAAAATATTAAAAAATAAGTTTCAAAATATACAATTTAAAAAAATATATATAATTATAGTATCTTATGCTGCATTTTGCTTGCTAGTTTTATAATTAGACTTTTTAAAAAAAAAAGAAAACTATCCTCGATAAATTGCACTTCCTTTAGAAAACTGTTATTCTAACCTTACCTTTTTAATTATAAAAATTAAAATAATCACTTGAAGTTTAAGGGAGTATTTTCGATCTATGTAAGATTCATACAAGAAAACAAATATGTATCCAGTAATAACCTGAACGCTCTGAAAGATGCTAAGGTGATGCCACTTAGGGGTTTGATATCAAATTCTTAAATGGTTACAAAGATATTTATTGCTGAATCCTTGTATCTATTTATTAAGAATAATACTGACATTTAAAATTTTATATAAAATATTTTTTTATGCATATGATCATATCTGACTGATTTTTTTTTTTTCTCAGATGATGCGATCAATGGGAGGTCTCGGTTGTGGGGACTCAAAACATTCATTTGATGATCTGGATCCTTTGGGAGATTCAGACGATGAAGATATTCCAGAACTAGAGTAAATATTTGTCACCAGAGAGCGTGCCACAAAAAACATCCCTACCCAAAACCACATTCATTCGTTTTCTATCGAGCTTTGTACATTTTTAGCTATTATTATGTAATTATTATTAATATAATTCTCTTTTTGTCTCTTGTTGTTTAATGACATGCTATAGTGTCTTAAGTCATATTAAACAACATTAAAATAAAAGAGCAAATTTTTGTTCTAAGTTTCTTTTTTATTTTTTTGTTATTCATTTGCATAGTGTTAACCTTTTAGCATTGGTTGATTGTGTATTCTTAAATACCCTGTGTGAATAGGATAATCATAAAATGAAAATGAAAGAAAGCATGCATGTTTATCGAAAAGGCTGAAGTTAACGTGTAATCCGAACATGCGTTTGTCTTAAGTGATGTATGAAATATACGAATGAATAAAGTTCAGATCTTGTTTATATATCAAATTGAATTCTATCATTTCCTTCAGTATTATAGTATTTTTTGCTGTTCCACGGAAAGGTGTTTTTATAAGCATCAAAAGCTAAGTTTTAAATAAAGACTGGGCTGGGCTTCATTAATGGAGTAAGTGACAACAAGAAAATTTGAATTATGCGCTTAAAAACCAACTGAATGCAATTGCGAACAAGCTCAATGCCATTATTTATTATCAATAGTAGCAACAAATATTTATGACATTTAGCCTGTTTTTAATTAAAGGCCTAAAATTATGGTTATAGATAATATCAATTATGATAGTGGATTGGTGGTTGACTTGTGGAAATCGAAGAGAAGTTGGTTGGTGTATTCAGTCAAAAAAGAAAAGTAAAAATAAATAAATGATTTTTTATTTTTTGACTGAACACCCCACCCAAGTTCTCTTTCATATCTATCATAGATGTTTGCAAATAGCGCAATTAAATAATCACCAATTTTTAATGTTGAATAAACAGTATATTCTCTCATTAGCTGACAGATGTCACTACCACAATTTTTCCTGTCCTACTTAATAGTCCGTGGTACAGACCCCTTTTTAATATCCGCCTGAAACTTCGTAAATTAGCTTCAACTCATCGTAACCTAAAACTATTTTATTTGCAAAAACTCTTGGAATTGGGTTGTTTTCAATCCTGAAGTTGTCAAACTTTGTTTATTTAATTAGGTACTAAAAACTAGTAAATAAGCTTTTGATTTTCACTTAGATCGTAAGATAATTTGATCACAAAATCGAGAAAAAAAGCTAGCCTACAAAAATATTAGGTCGATTGGCGTATGTAATCTCGTTATTTTTTATTTTGGATGTGTAGGTCACGCCAACGGCTCAATATTTTTGAAGGCCACCTTTTTTCTCGATTTTGTGATCAAATTATCTTATGATCTAAGTGGAAAGCAAATGTGTATTTACCAAGTTTTCTAGTACCCAATTAAATAGACAAAGTTTGACGACCTCGAGATTGAAAACTCGGCAGTTACGATGAGATGAAGTTTCAGGCGAATGTTGATAATTTGTTAAAATGGGGTCTGTACCACGAATTATAACAATAAAGGGTTAAAAGGTACAAAATGACAATTTCTGATTCAAAGGTTTGGGGCTCTGTCCTCTCTTCAGGAATATTATATTTTCTTATGTTCCTAAAAAGAATAAAAGTAAAAGGTAACAAGATAAAATAAAAAATATGGATAACATATAGGACAATATGTTTTGGTGCATTAGGAAATAAAGTATTCCTGAAGATGAGGCAGATCCCCAAAACGGATATGTTAGAGATAAACATGATTAATAAAAGAATTTATCCCACGAGGAAGATATAAAAATAATTTTTCAAGAAACTATCTGAAAAATTGTTGTATAGTGCAATTTATCAACAACAAAAATTTAATTAAAAGGAATTCAGAAAATAATCTGTGGAAGAACTATGAAAAACTAGCACTGCATGATAGTGGACATGTGAAGAATCTTTCTTTCTAAATAAGCAATGGAATATTTTAAAACTGAATTCAGGGAGTTTGGGTCATACTATTGTCCCACCATTGAAAACAGAAATACTTAACAAGAAATTAAATTACTTATAATTTGAACAGTTATCTACATCAGCTATAGGTATAGATTAATGGTGGTAACAAAATCTTTTAGTATTTAAGAAATAAATATGGTGTGTGTTACATTTCTTAATTACCATACTTCATATGCTTAATAATAGTATTCTGTTGTGTCTCCAAATTTTTTTACCTTAACAAGTCATCGAAAATTGTCAATATTTTCTTCTGTATTGTCCCAGCATTTAACTATTACATATCATGTGTGTGATTGGAATGTTTTTTGGCTTGTGCTGAGATGTACTATGAAACAAGCCAGGATGAAGAAGCTCACAAATTGAATTTGCTATGGCAGTTCATATAATGAAAAAGATATATTAAGTGGTACTTCTGGTTAGCTAATTTTAATGAAAAAGTTACTGTAACATCCTGGCCATATACCTACCTTAAATATTTGATTTCAGTTTTGTGTGAAATGTTTTTGAGTTAGGCTGTTCACATACACACAGACTATTTTGTTGGGCTTGGTTATTTGGACTCAAGGAACTTTAAAATGTGAATTTTCCTTGAAAGCTAGATTTGAAATGTTTCACTATCACAATACTTTCTCACACTGTATGATTTTAGTGATGACCATTCTATTCTACATATACAAAGTACGATGAACTGTGACGAATACACCATACTTATATTTCTAGAATTATTTCTCCCTCATTATGGTTACAAATTAACAATAAGAATAATTATATAAATAGGCAATAAGGTGCAATGTGTTTGATATAGATTTTTGAAGAAATTAGAAATTTATACGAACTGATTTTGTTCTCTTTATTTTATGTTGATAAAAAACAATCTGAACTACAGTTATACAATTTGAGCAATGTGTAGTACAATTAAATGAACAGTTGTATAATTTATAAAATGGGGGTTGGTCAGACAAGATGTACCCCCCTTGTATGTGTATATATATACATACATGTAAGTGAAAGTCAAAGTAAGCATCAGTTCTAGAACAGAAAGTGTGAAAACAAAATCACTGGATACTGATATAATGATGGGAGGGGGGAGAGAGGAAAGATAACTCTGGATTAATAATACTGGTTTCCTTATATTCATCTATTTAGTAATAATTGATTTTTATAAAAAGTACTGTCAATAGTTCATCATGTCAGTATCATTGACCTGGTAACATGCCTTTCGTTTATGTTTATACTTGGCCTGCTTTGGTTTTTCTATGCGATAAAAAACAACTTATTTATTGATTATTATTTTTTAAATAAGATTCACTTTGATTCCTGGTGAAATAATTAATATTGACATTCAAGCACAAGATAATTAATATTACTGTATTAATTATCTTGCTGTCAATGATTTTGAGTGACATATGATTTCGGAAACCTTCCTTTAATTGTTCCCATTCAGCATTTGAAGTGCGGAATAAATATGATAAACATTTGCTTAAATGCTCAATGGCTTATTGCATTGCAAAAAGTCATTTAGTAACATTTTTTAAAACTAAATCACTAAATACTTTGATGTGTTTTCTCTCTGTGAAATGGTAACGTTGTGCACATAGTGTGACTATTTTTACTAATAAAAGGGTTGATATCATTTTGATGTATTTGTGATTAGGTATTGAATAAAGTTGAAATTTAAAAAAGTGTACTTAAAAGTTTAACTCATCAAAATGTGTTTAGCTACTTTTTGGAAAAGGCTTTTTATAATGGGATGCTGTGAGTGCCATTTGATTGACAGAAGTTGATGAAATCCTCCAGGCGCCCCATCCTCAAATTTACGAGGATTTTCTAATAGTTCTAATTCAATATATCTTTTTTTGTGGGCGGTGTGAGCGAACAGGCTAAGGTGTGCGTGCAGCACTGTAATTGCCCGGCAACCTGATAATTGATAACTAAATAAAAATAGTCACGAGTTCGCCCACACCCCCTGATCCCTCAAACCCTTAAGGCGAGGAAGGGGAGGACCCAAAAAAAAAAAATTTGTAATTCAATATTTTTTATCCAAACCTGTTACAGACTAAAATAAAGTCAATGCATAAAAATTAGGAAGGGTTATTGTAATTTAATAATAGATGTAAAATTTTCTTTATAATAGTTTTAAAACATTGCTTATTATTTAGATGTTACGTATTTGCAGGAATACATTCAATAAATAAATATATATTATTTACATATATAAGGGAGTAGGGTAGAGCACTGATCTTCCAATGCTCAAGGTCCTGGGTTCGAATCCCGGCTCAGATCGGGAGACCCTAAAAAGTGGGAGGTACCCTTAATTAAATAATTGAGGGAAAAAACCTGGCGGTCAAGTGTGATCTCAGTCAAATCAGATCAAATTTTCATCCTTAATCAAACCTCTCACCAGCTTCTACTGTTATCAAAGTATTTAATTAAAGTGTTGCTTAATGACTTCGCAATAAATCCAAGCATGATATTTATTATTTTATATATATATATATATTTAGTATTAATTAATACTATTATTATTTTAATAAATTGTTTAAAAAAAGAAATTACTGAAAAAAATAACAGCACAGTACCTATGATCTGGCACAGGCCAGCTGTTTTCATATCAACATCTCTATAAGAGCTTGGACATTTTAGAATGGTTGGAAAAAGGTGAAAAGTTGCCTCATTTGTTCAAGGAATATGACATTGTTCAGTCTATAATACACAATTTAAAGAATTATTCTTAAAGGGTAATAAATAGTCAGGACACAGTCAGTTTCTAATATTTTTATTGTTAGCAACGTTCAAATCATACCATAAGAAAAACTTTATAAGCAGTCAAGTTTCCACAAGTAGAAGATACAGTTTATTTTAAAAAAAATATATTTTTCAAAGCAAAATTGTGAAAATGGGCAACTTGTGCTAATTTTATTTCAATATTACTAAATCATTAAAGACATTTTAATTTCTAAATTACACACAGATTTATATTATTTATTTGTTGTGGTTTAACTTTTTATTCTTTTACGATTTATAAAGTATATTAATTAATGTACTCACTATTAAAGAAAATACTTACTTTGTTTTAAAATATAGATTTTTGTTATCTTTTACATTACAAAATATGAACTTTCATTTCTATAAAATATAAGTAGCTTTTGTAGGTCATATTAGGAGGTCTTCACATTATTTTTGTTTATTTATATAATCACTAATTCAGTCATTTCCATAGTAAGGCCCTACCAATCTCGATAGTGGGGACTGCATTTATGTGATCCTACAGTATTATTCCAATTGATATGGTTACTAATACCATTGATATTTATTTATTTTTTTTACCCACGCCTGTCAGAAGTACTTACAATTAGCGAGTCTGCTGTCAGGAATATACTAATAGTGGCTTGATCGGCGTGAGGAAAAGGAGTGCCCAGCGGCATTCCTACTTGACTAGAGTTCAGTATATTTTTAGGTGAAGCAATATCTCATCCAGCTTCTTATAAGCCTCTGAAGCATGTTAATCGTGGCCATGTCTTCTATCAGCGTGTTAGTATGTCCATATAAGTTAAGTTATTGTTAAATTTTTTGTAGTGTGTCTGCATATGGTCGTTAACTGTTGGCATGTTAAGTAGATATTTATAAAATTACTTAAAGACACCAACCGATAATTGGCTTCGGTCAATTGTCAATATAATATAAGCAAGTATTATTAGGATGGTAGGAACAATCTTGGTGGAAATAATACAAGTATAAGACTTTATAAAAAAAATATTAATTATATTATATATGTTATGTATATTTAACAATTAGTACTTTAAATAAAATCAAATTCATAAAATACAAAAATAGATCACACATCATAAGATATTTTAATAGATTTACTAGTTAATAAATAAAATTTTATTAAAAAGTTAGAATACATATTATTTGATAAACATCAGGAATTATATAATATATTTATATTTAACAATCTGTAAATTTTTTAGTAAAATCAAACTTATAAAATACACATCATATAATATTATAATAACAATTACTAACTTATAAAATTTGACACTGTAGATAAATTTATCGATACTCCTGATGGTGAAGTGTCTAACGTTACATTTGCTGTACTATTAGTAAAGTCGAAAGTGTCTTGTTTATTTTCACTTTTACAATCCAAATCTGTACCTGAAAATTTAAACTATTTAATTAAAAAAATAAAATATTACTTATAAATATTATTTTAGGAGGTTCTGATGGGATGATGCATCATTTGTCCCCTACATAACCTATTAATTTGAGGTCTATATAATATTAGTGATTAAAATATTATCCCATTTCTCTCTCCCTAGACATGTCACACATGCTAAAGGTTACTGTTTCAGGTTGTTTTATGGCAATTATAATCCATTTATTCAAGGCCTTTTTATGCAAGTAAGAATTTTTATCCAATTCTTGATCAAGAAATAGTTGTAGTTAATATTACAATTATGAGCCACCAGAAGATTATACAGATTCCAATGTATTGGAAATTCTTGGTCAAATCACAGTCAACCAATAAATTTTTTCGACAGAGTTAAATAAAGTTTCTGTTCAACATTCTCATCCATTAAAAGATTCTTGAAAACCATCAAATCATATTTCAGGGGAAAATTTGTCAATTAAACAATACATTTTTAATGATTTATGTCCATCAAAACTGACGTAGAAAATTCAAAATATTTAAAACTATAAAAATAGCTTGTTAGTTGCGAACCTACTAAGCTTGCCCGAACTTAAAAATTAGAATTAACAAAACCATTAAGCGATGAGCAACATCTTAAGGTTTTAAAATTAGTATATTCTGTAAAATATTCAGCTCAAAGAAGAATGAGTCAACCGGGGAATTTAGACCGTTAGACAATACCAAATTGCACAAACTACTATACAATTGAGGTGATTAGATTGGACATTCAATCAATAAAATTAATCAGCAAATAAAATGGACATTCCAAATTTTTGGGCTTAGTAAGGAAAGAATTTCTAAAAAGTTGATATGTACTGGCAAGCAAGCGCCCAAGGGGTAGGCTGAAGTGGGAGGATTGCGTTAAGGCTGATCTGGTGATGTTAGGTTTGGATGGTGCCCAGTGGATGGAGAATGTAGTGTTGGAATCGAACCTTCCGGTTTGCTAAGCCTTATTATTAATATAGAATTAGATGAAGATGATTATTTGGGTATGGCCAGAAATACAACTTTCACCATGGTGATTAGGATCGCATCCGCTAACATCATATTGATTTAATCAATTGTTAATTATATCTCTATTATTACTACAATAGAACTCTCTCCCAGCAACATTAAAATATTTATTAAAAAGAAAAATTATATATTCTTTATGTTTCTTTTTAAGTATCAGATAAACCAAGGTAAGGAGAGAAATTTTTATTTTAAAAATAAAAACTTATATTTTTAAAAATATAATAGTACATAAAAAAGACTTCAAGACTTTAAGTATCAGATAAACCAAGGTAAGGTGAGAAATTTTTACTTTAAAAATAAAAACTTATATTTTTAAAAATATAATAGTACATAAAAAGACTTCCTAAGGTCAAAGTATCATGCCATTACAAATTGAGTAACCTGAAATATTAAAAATAGTATATATTCTTTGTTGTAATACTTACTCAAATATGAATTCAATAAAGCAGCATGAACATCACTTTCATTCAACATAGAATCATTAGCAACACTGATCTCCGGAATCCTGGCTTGACTTAAAAAAGATTTATCTGCAACAATAATTTTATAAAACTATTTTAAATACCAATAACTATATATAACTAAAGAAGATATGAGAGAATTGGATTTGCTGATAAGGATATTTGGATTTGGATAGTAAAATTAACCAAGAATGCAGGTTAATATATTTTTTTTTTTTGGTGTCCTCGCCTTTAAGGCTATATGGGATTTTCCTGGGATAGGGAGTGAGGGCGGGGATTTAAAACACCTCAGGCACTGGGATGCGAACTCGTGACTATTTTTATCTAGTAATCTCATGTATCAGGTTGCCGAGCAACAGTGGTGCTGTGCACACACATTAGGCCATTCGGCCACCCCGCCCATCAGCTTATTAGTATTATTCAAGACTTTTTTCATAATATTAGATGTAAGAGTGTATTAAAAATTGTACATACAAATTGTTGTTCACTTAGGAATCTCCCCTGCGTCTATAGTATTACAGAGGGAATTTATGGTTTACATGTGTACTAACAACCAACTTTAAATGATAAAGATATCTCACATGGAAAAATGTTTAAAAGCCACTGTTCAATTGCAGTTTTTATCCCATTATGAAGTAGAGAAGTTATTACACATATTTTCTTTAAGTATTTTATTGTATATCATCATTGCATTTCCATAGGGATGAGAAATAGAGCTATAATAGTCAGGGCTTGAAACGGAATCAAATTTTTATTTTCGATATTTTTTCAGTTCTTTTGGAACTAGAACTTTTTCCCTTGCAACTTTTCAAGCAAAGTTTTTACAGAACTTTTTATATTTAAAAGTTCTGTCAATTTTACTAAATAGTCAATAGTCAATTTAAAAAATTACTTTTGTTCATAGCTACTCAAACAAATGACACATTAAAATCATGAGTAATTCATTTAAGACAAATTATAACTTTTATTTTAAGAATTTTTTTTCCTTAAGTTTCATAGAAAGAGTCAAAATGGAACGTCTTAAAAAAGTTTCGACTCCTGATAATAGTAGTTCAACTGGACTTTCGGGGTCAAGAATAATATTCAACAACACCAAATAATATTACTTGTAGAGAACCACAAATGTAAGTCAAAATATAGTATATAATATAAATCCCTAGAATCCCTAGATTGGAATATAATATATTCCTGTACCTCAATTGATTCCATGGTTGACATTCTCACCTCCAATCTTATTAATATCCTTGATGACCATGCCCCTCTCAAAACCTCCACCTTTCGTCGCCTTCCTGCTCCCTGGATGTGTCAGAAAATTAAGGATCTTCAGAAGAGGCCTGATCAGGCCCGGAGACGCTTTAGACGCACTAGATTGCCTGACGACTATCAAGCGTTCAGGGCGCTCCGCAACCTGACACAATCCACAATCCGACGAGCCAAATCTACATATTTCCATGAAGCCCTTTCCTCAGCTCCTGATTCCAAATCCAAATGGCTACTCCTTCGTAAACTCTCTCTTTGTGATCCTACCAGATCTCCTCCCTCTGCAGTGCCTCCAGTTTCATCAAATGACTTAAATTCTTATTTTATATCTGCTTCCTCTTCAACTCCTTCATTTCTCCCTTCCTTCCTTCCTCCTGGAACATCTTTCAATGACGCCGATTTTTATTTTTCAGATATTTCTCCCACAGACCTCATATCCGCCGTGATGAAATCACACTCTAATTCTATTGGTCCAGATGGCATTCCCGTCAAATTAATTAAATTATGCCTCCCTGAAATCCTTCCGGTACTCCTTTTCATCTACAATTTTTCCCTTCAAAATTCAGTATTCCCTTCCTTGTGGAAAAAAGCCACAGTCCGTCCTTTAAATAAAAATTCTAATCCGTCTTCCCCTGAAGATTTCCGGCCAATCTCAATCCTTTCTAACCTTTCCAAACCCCTGGAGAGAATTGTGCAATCCCAAGTTTCCACCTTCCTTGAACAGTCCAATCAACTTGACCTTTACCAATCTGGTTTCCGACCAGGTTATTCCACACAATCCGCCCTAATCAAAATCATTAATGATGTTCAGTCCGCCATTGATGACAAAAAACTAACCGTCCTTATACTCATTGACTTTTCCAAAGCCTTTGATTCCATCAACCACTCCATTCTCTTTTCCAAATTAAAATCATTATCCTTTTCCCATAGTTCTATCCTATGGTTTCAATCATTCCTTTCCCAACGCTCACAAGCTGTCGCTTTTCCTAATCAACCCTTGTCTTCCTATCTTACTTTGTCCGCAGGAGTGGCCCAGGGCTCTAGCATATCTCCCCTCCTTTTTAGTTCTTATATCAATGACATCCATAATTCAATCCTTCACTGCTCCCACCACCTTTACGCCGATGACTCCCAAATCTACCTTTCCTTCCATCCCTCAGAGTTGCATGAAGCGTTTGCCAAAATTCAAGAAGACTTGAATCGGATCAGTGCCTGGGCAAACTTAAATGGGTTAAGGTTAAACGCTGCAAAAACTCAAGCCATTGTCATTGGTTCCAAACCCCTTCTCAGAGCCAATACCAACATACCTATACTGTACCTAAATGACCATCCCATTACCTTCACCTCCTCAGTAAAAAACCTAGGCATTTTCATAGACCAAACCCTATCCTGGAAACACCATATTGCTCACATTACCCGACAGTCAATTGGTACCTTGAAACTATTCCATCGCTTCCGCCATCTCCTACCCATCTCCACACGTAGACTCCTAGTAACTTCCCTCATCTTCCCCCACCTTGATTACGGCTGCGTGGTGTACGGTGGCCTCTCGGCAGAACTCGGGGAGAGACTGAAAAGAATTATGAATGCCTTCGTAAGATTTGTCACAGGGGCCCTGAGGTATTCCCGTGTTTCGCACCACTATGCTGAATTAGGATGGCTCTTCCCTTCCTTCCGAAGACAATATTTCCTAGGCACATTCCTTTACCAAATAATCAATAGTCATCGTCCGTCCTACGCATACAATCTCCTACAATTCAAATCATCTATCCACACCCTCTCCACAAGATCTCGTCCTTCTGACCTTTACACTCCTTTCCACAGATCTGCATCATTTAAACATTCCTTCGTTGTCCGTTCCACCGCATTCTGGAATTCCATCCCACTAAAAATCCGCCATGCATCATCCTTAGCCACCTTTAAAACCCTCTTATTCCAATTCCTCTTCACAATCCAATCAGATGCTGGTTAAATACATACTATGTTATAAGGATTTAATTTTCTTTAGACATTATTTTTTTTCTCTTATTTTTTATTGTTTTATTCTGTGTTGAACGTGAATTTTCATCACCACTCACTAAGCATTGTGAGTAGATAAAATTTGTTTTCCTTAAGTTCTAATTTGTTATTTATAGAATGTATTTCAGTGAAATGTATTTTATTTCTAATTATCTTCAACATACTTCTCGCTATGTGTATATATATACTTTATTTTATTTTCTCTTCTCCTAATCTTTACGCATAATCACTTAAATATCTTAGGGAACATATGTATATCATTATTTGTTTTTTTATATATTTTTTTGTTTTAGTTTTTACAATTTCTTTCCCTACATATTAACAGTTATTATTATTTTTTTAAATTTTTATATTCCATCACTACAATGATTTACCTATAAAATAGATTGTACTTTCCTTTATAATTTCATTCAGTGATTATTATGCAATTATTTTAGCTCCAATATTGTAGTACTGAATCCCTATTACCAAACTGTCCTCGTTAATTAATACTTAATGTATTACATGTATTTTGTCATTATTCATTGTAATAAGTCTTTTGACCAGATTTGTAGTTAATATATATGAACAATACTGTTATTCTAAAGGGACCTAGTCCCAGAATAAAGATGATTTTTCTATTCTATTCTATTCTATTCTATAATACATATTACTTATTTAGGTGCAACTTATAAATATAGTTTAAAAAAAACCTGTACCACTAAGACCCATGAAGGGTCTTGGGTTCAGTACTATTCAGGAAAAGTACTGTTTCTTAGTCAACGGTTGTTGTGCAAGGAGATGATTTGACTGAGATCACGCTTAACCGCCAGGTTTTTCCATTCAATTAATTATTTAATTAACGGCACTTGCTTGTTATAGGCTGGGTGTGCTCCAGGAGGGTCTCCCGATCCCAGGATCGCCCCACGGCTAATGAAATAGAATAAATAATTTTCGTGCCATGAGCCGAGATGCGAACTAAGGATCTTGAGCACTGGAAGATCAGTGCCCAACCACTGAGCTACCCCACTCCCTTATAAATATAGTACCTACCATTTATACAAAAATAAGTAAATACTGGATAATATAAAGATTTAGAGCAGTAAAATAACGAAAAATATGGAAGCTAATTTTGTTTTCTAAAATCTTGGAATAAAATTAAAATTGCTCTAACTTTAGAAGAGTTAAAGATTAGATGATAAACTAATATATATTGTTGACAAAAATTTAATTCTCAACAACTTTCTTCTCTATGACTTTTTCATAGGATGAATAGAAAAAGAGTATACTGGTAAAATAACAATGAAAATGTGAGACAAAAATTTGTTTTTTTTTTTCAAAATTGGCGTTTATTGGGAACGCATAACTCGGAGACTATGCGAGATAGGGTAAAATAATATTATAAATATTGTTGCAAAATTTTAACATCTTTAATATAGTGTAGAACGTTTATATCTTTACAGTGCATTGTTTCCCTGATATAAGTGACAAACCAAACAAAGTGACTTTCTGGAGGCTCCTAGCTAATCCCGAACAAAGCCCAAAAGTAAAAAATTATATTCCTTCCATTTCCTTCTACACCCCCTTTTTGAACACTCATTGACTGGACAATAATCTAGGTCATCAAAATTTATCTATTTTCGACCATCTTCAACTTAAAAATATAATTATTAATGCAAAGGATTAATTGAAGTATATAGAATTAAAATATACAAATCCATTTTAAAATTTATAAAAAATATTTCTTTAAATTAGTTACCTTTAGCAGAAAGAACTGAAATTGGAGAAATATTCCTGTCATACATAAATGATGATCTATTGTGATTTTCTTTTGGAGTTGAGCACAATTTTCGTGACTTTTGTGATGTTTCACTTCCACCTGAAATTATTTTTAAATGTTAACATAATAAAAACAAATTAGCTTTTTCAAAGTACAGCACTAAACTGCTGTACAATGTGCATGAAGGACTGTGTCACAAAGTTTGTTTCTTATCTTCTCCTGGTCTATGGTTACTAAATGACATAGTTCAACGTGTGGCTTGTCTTACTTTAGTATTGGTAGAAAGGTTAGATATCTATGCAAAAATACATACAAACCTCAATTAAAACCTAAATTAACATAATGCCAGGCCCATTGATTTAAAATAGCAATTTCAAACATCCAGAAAAAAGAGGAGAACTTTCTATAATCTGAAAGTGATTTAAGTTGTTGCCGCATCTAGGATCAGGTTTTATAGAACATCAGCTAACAACATAACTTTGTTTACATATTAATCTTGGGAAAACCCTGATACCGATACCAATCACAAGAACATAGCAGCTTAAAAAACTGCAATAATAATACAGTTAATCATCTATATATTGAAAATGGAAGTTCATAGGGAAAAAAAAAAATACATGAAAGACTGTAATTTTTCCTCCTTATAATACTGAAAACCATTAGTTATTTTTTAAAGACAATTTTTCAGGGTATTAAATCATTACAGTTCCAGCTTTATCATTATCTTATAATAATATTAACATTTTATCAACCTTTAAGGATTTAAGTAGTTTCATACCTCTCCAAACTACTGGTACTGGTGGAGGAGACCAAGTCCAACTGATGGGGGAGACCAAGTCCAGCAAGTGGGTCTATTGGTCCTTTTTGTTAACCCCGAAGATAATAATACCAATGGTAGTCTATTATCTCTATCTCAAACCTTTTCGTTCTTCTAATGAAGTTCAAAAAGCAGAACCATTTTATGGAGGAAGCTTCATGTTTTCGTATTCTATCTGAACCCAGAAGCCTGTATCTAAGCGACACAAATCGGTCGTATTCTGTTATATAGTGAAAGGTAGTTTCTAGTGTGTTTCTGCACAAATGGTAGAGTCCATCAGCTACTATCCCACAAATCTTAAGATGTCTTTTAAGTATGCAGTGACCTGTTAGTATCCCCATGATGAGTCGAATTTCCTTTTAAGTTAGGCCAAGTAGGCACTTAGTTTTATAGGGGGAGAGTTTTTTGATTAACTGTTTGACTTGCATTCCCAGTGCATTTTCTCCACTCCTTACTTGCTCTTTTCCATATCCAATCAAGGACTTCTTTTCGTTGATATTTCTTAGATATTCTTATTGTAGGTTTCGGACCTATTGTAAGAAATTCTGCTCCTTTCCTTGCAATATCGGCTTTCTCATTGCTTTTAATTCCCTTGTGACTAGGAATCCACATTAGTTCCGCTTTCTTGGAGCGTGCCAATGTCTTCAATTTCTGTTTGCAGTCCCGTGCAAGTGTGGAGGTCACTTTGGGGAATCCTAATGCTTAAAGTGCTGACTGACTATCCGAATAGATAGTAATGCCACCAGCACTCTCACCAAGTGACTACAGAAAGTATAGCAAACCCTCCGCTTGAAATATAGTAGAATGTTTGCCTAATGGTATGCTTAATTCTATATTTGAATTCTCTATATAGACACCTGCGCCCATTATGCTGGTTGAGTCTTTCCTCAACCCATCAGCGAAACAAGGCAGATAGTCGTTCTGAATTTTTATTGAGCCCTGTACTTAATCTGTTATAATGGGATACAGATAACTGACCTCTCCTCAAACTATAAAATGTTTTAGTATTTGAATTTTTACAGCATTTTATGTGCATAGAGAAATCTGTTTTTTTTTTCTTATTTAATTATCGCCTAGTAGTTGGTCCATGTGAATAATTTCTAAAGTAAACAAATGACAATTTAATATAGAAATAAGTAAATGAAATGTATTACGAGAGGGAGGAATTAATTATGTTTTCCCAAGTCAAAGATAATAATTCATTCATCTTGAAGGAACTAAACAAGTATAAAAATTACAATTTACTGTATTGACTAAATTTGGTAAGATTTCAATTTTTTTTTTTTTTATATATATATTGCGCAGGAGAATTTGGAAACAACTATATAATCAACATAAATTAATTTCTACATACGAATACTTCAAGCAGTTATGCGCGAATGAAGTTTGCTTTTCTTGACTTTTCTGGGGAACGTACTGAACTGGTTACCATAGAAACCTGTTCACTTTTTATTAGTTTTCAAATAATCAAAACCTATAAATCTCATGAAATGATGCAGTAGTTAATTATAAGGAGATATTGTCTAACGCCTAGTCCACAATGGTAGACATGTTGCGTGATTTTTGTATCTGAGACATATCTCAGTTTGTCTACACAGACATGTCTATATATTGATCCCCGTCTAGATGCCTGTTGTAAGACCAAGAATCGCAAGCCTAAAGTCTCCCTATCGTATCTATAGACTGTATCTGAAGACCGTCTATAGACAAATCACGCAACAATGTCTATTAGTGTGACTAGGCTTAATAGAGCTCTCCTAAAGAATATAAACTGAAAATAAGAAAAAAATTTAATTAAGATAAAAAAACTACGATGTGTGCTTAAAACCACACAATTGAAGTGAAAATATCAACAAGCCTGGATTAATAATATAATTTTTTTTTTCTATAATCACAAAGTAATAACATTTACAATATATACAATTATAATTGTGTATAAATTATCCGTAAACTTTGCTAGGAGTGATCATCATTGATATCATATTCGACTTTAACTACTTTTGATTGAAATCTATTTAGTAAATATCTAAAAAAAATTATGTCAATCATTGTTCCATATTATGTTGTTTTCATTTGGATCATTTGTGATTTCCAAATCAAGTATTGATTTTTTTTTTTAAATACAGTACAATACAGAGAGGATGAAATGCTGAATTTTCCACTCGCTTACAATATGTATGTCAGATTTATAGTTTCTGAGATATTTTAATTCAAATGCAAAATTTAGCCAACTACCCAAATGAGCATTACGGCTCAGTCTCACTCACTACCCACAAAAATAGTACACTAAGGAAGCCTAAAGAACTTTTAGCATAAAAAAAAAAAATCAATAATATCTTTGGGACATCAGAAGTATTCTTGAAGGAGAAAGTAAATGAATATTTATCTTTTCAATAGATTTTTAGTTAGTCACAGACTATAATATATATTTTAATTTTTAAAACCTAACCAAATGTGGTACCTAAGAGGCTTTCAGAATAAATTATTTCTTATCTTGAAAACAGTACATTATTGGGCTTTAAGCGCAGGACCCGGCACATTACAAAAAAACCTAACAAGGCCTTGATGCCCATGTCGAAATTTATAAAACGCAATAAGCCCCATCTCTAGCCATTTACTTACCAATGTCAGAGTTTTGAAACATCCTATTTCATTGACTTTTAACAAAGTTGTAGTAGGAATTTAAGGATCGAAATTGAAATCTATCACTTCGCCATGAAGTTCCCTTTCGTTTGATACCTCATTCATCAAAATTCATCGCTCCTGAAAGCTGGAAATTGTATCGATTCTACTGTATTATTTCACCAGTTTATTGGAAAAAGTGCATTTTTGATACAGGTTAACTTTCATATATGGTTTTATGAATTTTGAACTAATTTATCAAGAAAAAACAACAACATAATTGCATGAAAATGACACTAACCCTTTTATTAATCATATATAGTTACACTAATTGTAATTGCACAACTTTCTGATTTCACAAAAAGAAAATTCATCAAAGTTCTTAATTATTTGAGGTTATAAAATGTCACATAATGACTTCTTGCAATAAACTGTTAATGTATAATAACCATTAGCTGAGACCCCTTTTCGACGAGAATTACTTTGTATTCTTTTCTAGAAAAAATTTAAGGTTCGTAAAAGAAGTTTTGATATAGAGAGATTTGGCTATGTTTTAAAACAACAAACGTATAATAAGTATGTTAAATCCAAGAATCCTATTAATTTCTTAAAATAAAAAAATAAAAGTAGAGGAGTAAAAATGGTACTTACAAGGAGAGTCTACTTTTTCAGAATTTGCTGATTTAATTGAAGCTAGAGACACTGTAGATAGATTAATCAGTGAGATACTTTTTCTTTTACTAATCTTCTTCAAATGTTTTTTAGAATCTAAGAAATAAAAAATTAGGACTTAATAATTAATTAATTGTAAATAAAAGGAATATTACATTTTTTTCTTATACAAGATTCAACTAAAAATGCACACATGTGTACATTATTCTCATACGATGTTAAAGTTAGTGATTTGTTTACAGAAATAAATAACAACACAACTTTAAACAATTAATCATTTAAAAGAAAACATAAATGTGGATTGATGGTTGACTGTAGTGAATAATTGAAGAGAAGAATAAATGGATCAAGCTCTATAAACAGAATCCTCTATACTGAACTAGCGGTAGAAGAGGAATTAATTAAGAAGAAGAAGAATAAATAATAGAATAATTGTATTAATTTTCACATTCGCCACATGAATGAACACACACAGAAAACATAAATGGATTAACACAATAACAAAGAAACATTTAAAATAAAAACAAACCATAATCACCTCTTTTTGCAGTAATTTGCTGATCGTCCTGATTGCAGGCATTTGGCTGCAACAAAATATTTAATAAAAATTATTATTAACAACACAAATTAATGAAAGATTACAAAAACAAATTCTTAAGTCACTCAAAAATTAGTCAGTCATCATAAGAAATTTGAATGCAGATATCTTGGAGTGATGGCTGTCTCTATTTAGCGAGTTTTTGTATGTGATATATGCTGTATTAATGTGATTTTACCTTTTTTTAATTGGTGAACTTTGCTCTGATAAATTCTTCAGTGATATTTGAGAGAATTAAAACTTTGTTTATGGAATATATATTACCCTTAAATAAATAAGAAATAATATAAAATGACTATTATTTATTAATAGCAATCAAAAATAAAAATATGTATTCACAATTTTTGGCAAATGATGATAATGATATATATATAATTAAATTAAAATGTAATAATAAAAATAATAGATTCAAAAATATTATTTATATAATTTATATTATATATATATAATTTAAAATATATATATATATATAATTAAATTAAAATGTAATAATAAAAATAATAAATTCAAAAATATACAGAATTAAAATAATACTTTATTTGTTTTATCATTTTTCCATCCACCTAAAAACAATATATATTTCATATAATATAAAAGTATTTGAAACTCAAAGTAAATGTAAGTTTAATAATAAATTTTACAACTGTGCTATTTTGAATATGGAACTTTTTTAGGTAAGAAAAAATTTGTAAATACAAAGGAACATACAATTCGAATCCCGCCATCGGTGTCCTTTTTTCAAAAATAATATAATTTAATTTTTATGATCACTTCAGTTATTTTTGTGATCATATTCAGTTATTTTGCTTTTCAGAAATGAACAAATACGCAAGAAAGCAAAGTGTTGCGGGATTGCCGCTCTAATTTTGCATTGCTATTTGCAGGTAGGAAGGCATATATCCCTTTTTTTTTAAATTCAATAAAAACGTTAAAATGAATTTTTGAAAGCTAACTAAGATCTTACAGGATGACTCAAAATAGCATTTTAAACAAATTTATGCAAAATAAAATTTGTTTTTTTGGATGTCTTTGTGAATTTCAGGATGCAACATATGGTAGAAACTTGCAAATGAGCTCCCTCAGTCAAAGGGTTAAAATAATTTTATCACTCAGTAAGGTCCTTCAATTATTTCAAACTTTCTAATGAAAAAACCAATAAAGATATCTGAAATATCTAATTGTTATTTTTACATGAAATATTAATTTCTTATAACAACAATAAAACAGGAACAAAAAAAATCAATTTCGGTCAGTTTATTTCAAAAAGTCATTAAGTAATATTTTATAAAATTAAATCACAAAGGTCCTTGACGAATTTTCACTATGAATTCAGAATATTTTGATCCTAGTTCAACTATTTTTGTTATGTTACATAATACAGTTTGTATAATTTTGATGCACTTGCTATGCTTTTGCATCAATAAATAAGGTAAAAATTAAAAAAATGTACTAAGTATCTTTTTGCAATTAACTGATGATATGATTAAATCAAATTAACAATGTTTTTAAATGATAAAAAGTAAGTTACCTTTTTTTTGGCGTGTTTTGTAGAGAAATCTCTGAACCTGTGAAGTATGTAACCTAAAATCAATTATCATTACTTAACGCAAGCCATTGTGTAGTTTGAAATTTAATCAAGAATAAAATAATTGAAAATTATTTATCAAAACAAATGGTTAGTCTCACATGTTCTTTTTTTTAATATATATTGAGCACAGAACATACAGTTCCTATGGAGGCATCGTGTACAAATAAAGAAATAAGAAAAATGAAAATTTCTATATCTATATAAAACTCAAGAAATCATTACTCACTATCCTACTGCTTTTGCAGGGATTTTAATCTTATTGCATACACCCAATTTTTAAAATTATATTTTTTAAAGCTTATTATTTATGAAAAAATATTATTTTAAAATTAAATATAACCAATATACAATAAATTAAATTACATAGTTTGCTCAGTATATTTTTTAAAATCATTATTCATATTTAGGAAACTTAAATCCACTTACTACCTTTACAAAACATCTAAATTACATTGAGGTGCAGTTATGTTTTTAATTTTTAAGGAAATGTTTAATAAAAGGATTTTAACTTGCCCAGTATTTTAACAAATCAGAGTTTTCATTTATCAAAGATTATAGTTATTTCGGTATTTCATTTAAATAATTTTATATTCTAAACATATATATATTAGGATACTTCTATTGCTTTGGATATACAACAAACAAAGAAATTTTTTCACAAAAAAATAAACCTGGTGAAGCATTATGAGACAAAATTATACTCATTCCACATATAATACATATCTTCGTATTATTATATTTAAATCTTAATGCATTTTGAAAAAAAAAAAATGTAAATAAAAAAGTAAAAGTACCTGTAAATTCTAATGTTTTAGTTACTAATAGTAAAGTCATATTTTTTTATTTTTGTAATACTCATTGCACAACTCCAAAATGATTTTGCATTTTTCCAGAAATACAAAAATAATAAAAAAGGTGAACCGAACTATTTTTCTAATGGTTTTTACTGTTAATAACATAAGTAATTGCACAATGAGCAAAAAATATTAACCTTTTAGGAATTCTTTCGTTACTAAGCCCAACAATTTGACAAGCACATTTGCCGTAATGTAATCCCCTCCGTAATGTAATTAACCAGATACAGTCCACGCAATTCGGCCCTGTGTAATCATCTGAACTCTCCAGTTAACTCATCCTTCTTCTATCTGAATATTCTACGCAATATTTTATTTGCAAAAACCTTAAGACGTTTATCACCCCTTAATGTAATCGGCCAAGTTTTGCACCCATAAAAAACTGTAGGTAAGATTCTATAGTTTTATAGATTCTAGTTTATAGGTTCTTGTCACAGAAAAATAACAAGCATTTCCCGCCTTCAGCCTAATCTTGATATTCTCTTCAATTTCGTTTTTTTCTTCGTAGACCCTGGATACCTATATCATATCACCAGCAATAACGCTATTTTTGCAGCTAACCATATATTTTGTCTTAGCCGTGTTTTAGTTCAAGTGCTAGTTCTTTACTGGCTTTCATTAACGTTGCCGTATTAAGTTTTATAGTTTCCATATCTTCGCTTAACAGTACCAGATCATCCGTATAGCCAAGCACGGGTGTTATCCCACCCAGATCCAATCCTTTTTCAGTACGCATTAATCCCCTAATGGCATGTTCTAATGCCAAATTGAACAGGACACACAAAAGGGAATCACCCTGATTTAAACCCGAATGAACCTCAAACTTTTCGGATAAATTTTTACCGATTCTAACTTTATTGAGTGTTTCTGCCTAGCACATCCTGACTAAATTTACTAATTTTTTTGGAATCCCCTACTCGATAAGTTCAATCTAATTTAAAGATTTATACAGGAGACATTAAAGAGCATACAATTGTGCCTTATTTTACTGACATAACTCTATGAGTTTGAACTTATTTTTATGCTAGAATAAGACACTTTTGGTTTAAATGGCTGTACTGAAAACATGTAAAAAAAATAAATAAATAAATAAAAGCTTTTTTTTTTGTGAAATATCTATATTGAGCTAACTTATCAGCTCATTTATAATAAAATGAGGCTGAGGTGACCAGATGTGTTAAGGTATAGCCCAATTCAGCATTAATGAGTCAGAAGCGGGACCAGTAGTAGCACAATTACTTAAGGATGTTAAGCCCAAATAAACAAATAATATATTAATATTATATAATAAAATAAACACATAATGCTGAAGTAGATGTTAATATTTTAATCAAATTTTAGACAAACGATGTACAAATATCATACCTTTTTTGGCTGCCAAATCAATGTTATTTTTCTGAAAAAAAAAAAAAAAAAAATGGATAAACAAATGTTAGTAAACCCTAAAGGACAGTTTTTTAAATAGCAATAAATATAAAAAGATACACATAGACCTGTTTGTCCTTTGTACGAAGCACTTCTTATTAAATTATTAACATTCATCTAAAACTACGTAAATAGCTTCATCACATCGTAACTTACAAATATTTTATTTACAAAAATTTTCGGAATTGGGACGTTTTCAATCAGGAGGTTGGCAAACTTTTTCTATTTAATTAGGTACTAAAAACCCATGAGTACCCATTTGCTTCCACTTAAATTATAAAATAATATGATCACAAAATCGAGGAAAAACGTGGCCTTTGAAAATATTGGACCATTTGGCCTATATGACTTCATTATTTTGATATTTTGGAGGTGGAGGTCATGTCAAACGGCCGAATATTTTTGTTGGCCACCTTTTTCCTCGATTTTGTGATCATATTATCTTAGTGATCTTAGATTCAAGTGGAAGAAAATGGGTAGTCTTAAGTTTTTAACACCTAATTAAATAGACAGTTTTCCGATCTCCAGATAGAAAAACTCTAATTCCGAGGATTTTCGTAAATAAAATGATAGTAGGTTATGAGTAGAAGCTATTTACAAAGTTTTAGGCAGATGTTAATAATTCGATAAAAAGGAGCCTCTACTATGGCCTGTGACTATGACATGAATATGATATGAATATGACTATGGCCTGTTCTGATATGATCGTATCACTAACACACTCACAGCTAACTACAAGATCTAACCCTCATTTTGCATTTTAACATTGTGTTTAGGACCACAAATACAAGTTATCTTGTAGATTGTATACATGCAATAATGACTTCTTTTTTTTAAGTGTGCATATAAACATTTTAATAAAAAAGTCCAATATTCTTTAAGATTTATTTCAAACAAAACATTTCACTTTAAAATACTTTAAATTATGTAACATAATACAATATATTGGCATAACTTTGACATTATCTGTGAAAAAAAAGTATATTTTCTAAGAACCATAATGTCAAAACTAAGAACATTTAAAAATAAAATTTTATATACACAATTTACTGTTATTCAATACATGCCAATGAATAAAATGAAATTCAAATGTGAACCTACTTACAGTATAATTATTAAAAATAAATACAATTTTTCAATTAAAAAAGTTTATAGTTTCAGTGAAACTACTCTAATTAGATAGATAACTGTTTAGGTTTCGTAATTAACACATATCAATGACACGAGAATAATAACAATTTAAAAAGTCAAATAAATAGAATCCTAATAATTTAGAATAATAATAATAATAATACAATATCAGATGATTAGTTCAATATCTAAATGTGATCTATAACAACTAACTGTATCTATTTGATTTTGATAATAGATAGAATATATCTAGCTGATGTTTAAATGAAAAAAAAAAAACTCTAAGAAAAAAAATCTTTAAATTTACCTTGTATTGAGAGCTTTTCTCACTAGGTTCCCTAAAACGTAACAGCTTTTCTTCATCTAAAAATGTCAATAAAATAATTACCACTAAAACTCACTTAAATAAATTTACTTACTGAATATTTATTGAGAAAAAAAAAAAGAAAATCATGAGGTTAAAAAGTTTATATATAAACCATTTACAATAGAAAGTTTTTAAAAGGCAACTAAATTCACTTCAGTAATCATGAAATAAATTATGAGCCATGATTAAAATTTATTTATTATTAAATAGAATTACCGAATACAGGATCTCTTGTAGAAACTTTAGTATTGAGTACACTGAACTCAACTTTTGGAATGTTGAATAAGAAATTCTTTAGCCATTCAGATGCTTTATTCCTATCGTCTTCACCTGGTAACACAAGATTTAGGAATATTGTTACTATCTTTTAATAAAGTAAGCTCACAAAAATAATTATAACAGTAAACAAATAAATAAGTTATTGATTTAAAGCAATAGATATACAAAATCTTACAGAGGCAGATTTAACTGATCAAAAATAATGTTGATAAAATGAAGTGGCTAACATAACATAAAAATAATAAAAATCAACAAGTGTACACAAATATTCATAAATCAATATAAACTTATATCCAAATACAATAGAATCTGGCATCCCAATTGAGTTCAGATAATTAACATCAGATACCACTAAATCATTGATTTAGTAATCACTGTACCTAAAAAATGAGTATGCCTCAGAAGCTGAAATTTTAAATGGTAGGTGATCTTATGCAGATGTGCATTAAGGCTGCATTGGAAAAAAAATTGTACTATAACTGTTTTGTTTTCTTTAAAAAGTGTAAAAGCTAAATTAATAAATCTATCGAAGTGGCAACCTGTTGCCAAGTCTTGGCTTTCTGCAACAACCAAAATTAATTCTTCGAATAACATGAAAATGATGATTTTTTTTTGCTACTTTGAACAAGTTTTTTTTTTAATGATTTATTTGTCCTTTCGTTTAGCCAAATAAATTTTGGATGTTATTCATTTAATGAGATGGACTGGGTCATGTACTAATTATATATATATATAAAACATCCATCATCTATAATACAAATTGAACTCAGATAAAAGGTAAAACTGCAGGATACTGCAAATAATTAATAATACAGTCCTGTATTAAGAAAAAAATCTTAATATAAAACAAAATTAACTAGAGTTTATTTTATATGATAAAACGTTTACCGAAATGTTTGTGAAAGTCTTCACACCTTTCTTCTAATTTTTTCTTTTGAGTTTCAAATCTAGACAACAATCCAGTATCTATTACTGGCAATTTTAATGACAGAAGCTCTCTGAGCATCTCTCTATTCTTAACAGCTTTAGGAATACTTAAATGAACAATTTTAAACAAAGCAGGAATGTCTAAATGATTTTCCTTAATTAAAGGAAGCTGAAAAAAAAGAAGAAGATAAAATAAGCACAGGTAAATGAAATGCAATTAAACAAGTTTTGTAAATTATAAATAGCAGTCAAATACATTATACATTTATGTTTATTTAATATTATCAGTTTTGATGAAATATTAGTACATTTTAATATCTGTCAGTAAGGTTATAAAAATACAAAAAAATCTTTAAATGATAATACCAATCAATCACCATAATCCAAATATATCCATATTTTTAACATATCTAAGTACTTATCACATTATAACATTTTTAAAAATTGCTTTTGAAATAATAGGTTGACAAAAAGGTTGATATGAAAGACTTTTTTATTAATGAAATATTATTTTCTTTTTAATTAAAAATTAAATTATTTTTTCACCATTTTATTTATATAGTTTTTTTAAGTACTTACATCTTCTAAACATTTAATTACGTAGGTACGTAAACTGCCTTTGAATTTCATTCATTATAATATATCAGAAAGAAGATAGGAAAAAAAATTGATTATGGAATTTCAAGAAATAAAAAGTGAAAACCCACTGACTTTCACATACAATTTATTTATTTTTACGTAATAGACTTAAATGTTTAATAGAGAAACATAATTAGAAATAAAAAAACTTCACATTTAGGAAAAATGAATTTCATTTAGAAAAAATAATATGAAGAGTGCAAGGCATGCAAGGAAATTTTCCTATCAAAATTACACCTCATAATAATAAGTATCTGTGATATAGAAAAAAACAAAACAATGATCTACACTAATTCTAAATGAGGCTGAGAATGAATTTTAATCACAAATCTGGAATCTCACTACTTGTTTATTATTATTATAAAAAATTTAGAGTGATTATATTTAGCCAGAAAACAAAATACACCAAGAACATTATAAGTAACTAAGTTTGAGATAAATTTAAATTAGTAGAAATGGATACTATTTCACTGCTGTAAGATTACTCAGTTTTTAATAAAACTTTATTGAATAAACCTGAAAATAGGAATTTCAAGAAAATTATACTTCTTGTAATATTGCAGATGCACAATGCAGTTGATGCAAGAATAGTGTCTCTAGGTTTTAACATGAAAATAAAGCATTAGGTAAAATATTTGGCACAATGAAAGAGAATGTGATCAAGAAATTAATTAAAAGCTAAATAATTTTGAACCCAGATAGAATCCAAACAATGGAAGGTAATGTTACGATCAATGTTCATAATTTTGAGTTAGACCTTGTAAGCAGGCAATGCTTTGTGATTTATCAGCATCAACCCTCGTTATTAATTTACTATTACTAGTTTATGCTTAAATTAATAGATATATTTTCATGATTTTTTAAAATATAAAATAAGTATAAACTGATTGGAATGAGTGAGAAAGTTAAATATTTCACAATGGTATAATATATCTCTTCTAAACATATCTAGGAGAAAAAAAAAGATATATCAACTAACTTAACTCATATTTACCAACCAAAAAAAAAACTCAAACAAAATTATTTTTCTTGTCATATTTTTTAGGTTCAGTACCATTTTTTATGCTTTTTTAAGAAGTACCAGGGCAAAGGTTACCAATAATAAATAAACGTTTTCACTTTATGTATTTATTATTTTACGTTTCAGCCTCTTGAGCCATTTTCAAGATTCTACAAAAAAGTTTTAATTTAGCTATTTTTCTTTAAAATAAATACGACAACGTTAATGAAAGCCGGTAAAGAACTAGGACTCGAAATAAACGTGGATAAAACAAAATATATGGTTAGCTGCAAAAATGGCGATACTACTGGTGACATAGATATAGATGGTAATATGTTTGAACAGGTAGATAAATTTAGGTATCTAGGTTCAACGATAACTAGAAAAAACGAAATTGAAGAAGAGATTAAGGTTAGACTGAAGGCGGGAAATGCTTGTTATTTTTCTGTGACAAAACTACTTAGTTCGCGCCTCTTGTCCCGGAACTTAAAAATTAGAATCTATAAAACAATTATCTTGCCTACAGTTCTTTATGGATGCGAAACTTGGCCGCTTACATTAAGGGATGAGCAGCGTCTTAAGGTTTTTGAAAATAAAGTATTGCGTAGAATATTCGGTCCGAAGAAGGATGAGTTAACCGGGGAGTTCAGACGGTTACACAACGCCGAATTGTGTGAGCTGTATCCGGGTAATATAATTGATGTAATTTCATCGCGGCGAATCAAATGGGCTTGTAAAGTTGTTGGGCTTAGTAACGAGAGAATTCCTAAAAGGTTAATATTTGCCGTGCCGAATGGTAAGCGTCCGAGGGGTAGACCGAAGCGAAGGTGGGAAGATTGCATTAAAGCCGATCTGAAGGGACTGGGTTTGGACGGCGAACGGTGGAGGGAGGTGTGTAACAAGCGCTTGGTGGTGTCGGCATCGAACCTTCGGGTTCGCTAAGCCTTATTATTATTATTTTTCTTTAAAATATACCATTATACCTAGGTAAAACATAAAATAACTTATATACAGCCTGTTACATTCATAGTACTATATTTTTTGTCCTATTTTTGTATTAATTTTAAATCAAGATAGTTTTTTCATTTATTTGTTTTCGGGAAATGCCCCATACAAATAGAGTTGGCTATAATGATAACAATGAACAAATTAATATGAAAAACATTTACAACTTATATACAAAGTAAAATTCATTAGGATTCAGTGACAATATCCTCTCCTGATAACAACAAAACATCTGACTGTATGCCTAAATATAAACAATGAAATGTAATATAATACCCCATATAATACAATAATTAAAATAATACATCTGAATAAAGGGAACAATAAAATGACAAATAGCAATAGTAATAAAGATAAACTAGTAGGCCCGTGCGAAAAATTCGCACAGCGTATTGTTATCAAATGCCAAATTAATAAGAAAAGAAAATAATGCAACGTATCAAAAGATAAAGAAATCAATTGTTACTTTATCCATAAATATAATCCACAAAGGAAACCAAATTAATTTAAATCTTCATTTTTGTTTGGAACCAACATATTTACAAATTTAAATAAGCTGTATCTTTGCGAAAAATTGTCTGATTTCAATGATTTTTTTTCCTTTTGTAGACAATTAAGTAATGTTTTATATAATCATAAGAATAACCAAGGGCAAAGAGTGTAATTTTTTAGTTATTCGCAAATAAAGTTTCTTTTTTTTCATAACTTGTTTGCCTGAATTTTCGGGGTGATTGGAATATTTTTCCCGCCTGAAGGAAAAGGAAGCCTTCGAAATTGGTGGCTCAATCTTGAGATTTGGTGAAAAATTAACGATGATATGGCTTACCGATCAAAAACATCATCGATAAATAATATAAACTCCTCCTGTCTCGATCATAGAGACCTCAAGTCGACGAAATGAGACATGTATCCAATGACAGTACTACAATTAACGTCAGGTTGTGTGGATACGAACCCCATGCCTTGCGTTATCTCGAAAATGGTACGTTTTTGGGCTTAAAAACGCAGTCTTGCTGTACGCATCAAAATCTTCAAGGTCCAATTTGTCCCGCATCGATCTACAGACCTACCATCGTTCCAGTATTGAAGCCTAGCAAAATGTTTGTATCGACTTTATTTATGTTAGAAAGAAAAACAAAAACGGAGAATACGATTCGCTAACCCCCCGTGAAATTCTGAATCCAACGGTACCCCATTCATGGTATTTGAGTATGACAGGAGCTTATATTTGGTACAAAACCGATTTCGAGCCTTACTGTAATAATATATGTATGGATACAGGCATAGTATACCATATATAATATATAAACATGTCAATAGTAAATAGCAAATGATACAATAAAACATTTTGATACATGCCCTGCATTACAGGACATAAGATGTCCCTTTAATGCAGACGGACTTCCCTTTTATAAACGGACAGCCCTTATGCTAGGAGAGAAAAATTATATTGGACTGCAAGAGCACGCATGGCTGATGAAGCAGGCGTTACTTAGGCATAGGAAAAAAAAAAAAAAAAAAAAACAATAAAACACGATATGCATATAAATATGTTTCATGCATGAATAATAATACCACAAGCAGAACAAAGTAAATAAACTTCAAAGTTTTGGAAAATATATGTAATGTCATTATTCATTGAAAATGAAGAACCTCAATCTGCAACATTGCCTCGTGTAATAAAACAGGTTCTTGAGGAATACTTTATTGTCAGTTTTGAATAATTCCAAATACTTCGCCCTGGTCGTGTTAATGGAATGAGGTAGGAAGTGTTGGCGGAAGTGAGCATAAATCCGGCACTGGACAAAAATATGAAAAAGGTCCTCTAATTCATTTAGGTTACGGTTACAAAGCGTGTCAATTTCTTTTGGCTTGAAATAGTAATAACTATTATTAAACGTTAATTTAATATTATAATTGCCAGATAACCTAACCTGTGTTAGTGTTTTCGTCATATCGAACGGGGCATTTAATACGAGATAAGGCTGATGCTAATCACTCGCTGTATACATATTGAGATACTTATTAAAATAAATAAAATAAAATAAAAAAAATATCTTGGTTTAAAATTAATACGAAAATAGGACAAAAAATATAGTACTATGAATGTAACAGGCTGTATATAAGTTATTTTATGTTTTACCTAGCTATAATGGTATAGTTTAAAGAAAAATAGCTAAATTAAAATTTTTTTGTAGAATCTTGAAAATGGTTCGTGAGGCTGAAACATAAAATAATAAAATGTTTATTATTGATAATTTTTGCCCTGGTATTGTTAAATTCATCACTTTATAAAAATAAATAAAATTTATATTGCAAACGGTAAATAGTATTGTTATGTTGTTATTTTCAAAAATGCACTGTTTTAAGTCCATTTTACTTAAATTTTATTCATATACTTTTTTTATTTCAATATAACGACCAGTCTCGTTATTGATAGTAAAAAGTGGATGGATATAGTGACTGAGGTAGTTTATAACAATGGAGTTTACCCCTTAAAGATCATTATAAACGATATGCACTGTAAATTTATCTCTAATTTGAAAAAGTATTTACGAACTAAAAAAATTTCCTAACTTTAAAAAATTTCTCCTTGACTTTTCCTATTTTTGCAGATTGGTCAACACCCTGCCAAAATTATGCTAATAAGTAAGATAAAAAAAATTCCTTACCCCATTCATTTCCGCAAAGTTCTCAACTTCAAAATGAATATTTTTTCGAAGCTCATCACCACTAATGATGATTTTCTCTTTCTTAACCAATAGTCTTGCAAGAAGAGCTGACTGTTCATTCAAATGCTCTAATATTTTAACTTTTTCTAAATTACTTTTATGTAGTGCATCTGTTTCATCTTTCCAACCTAAAAATAAAAGATGTAATAATATCACAGTATCTCTGTTCTTCCACTAGATTAAAAAAAAAATATATCAACTAATAAGAGGTAAGAGGTAATACATGCAATTCCTGTATGATAATCACATTAAGCTGGGAAGTAATTAACTGTAATTCATAATGATTGTCAGAAAATTATAAAAATAACAAAAGCCTTTTTGAATTAAAATTATAAACCAACAAATTTTATTTTCATTTATCTATATAAATAAAATAAAGATTTTTTCTGTACATTGAATAGAATCAACCCGTTTTATATCTTCCAGTTTCATACGTTGCAGACACCAAACCCACTTTTAAAAAAAATTTTGTCTGTCTGTATGTCCACATTACAACGAAATTTTGTCAGGGGTAAGCTCAGCAATGGCTTATTGTAGACTTTTGAAATTTAACATTATATTAAGGTTTGCTTGACTTAAGACATAGGCTCTAAATGAAAACATAATATTGAGTAGAACCAAAGTTATGAATTCTTGAGTAATTTGTCTAAAGATCTCGGTTAATGTTGATAATAAATGTTAATAATAAACATATGTTTATAGGTTAAAGAACATCTATATATATAAAATAAAGGTTTTGTCTGTACATTGAATAGAATCAACCCGTTTCATACATTACATACACCAAATCCAGTTTTAAAAACTTTTTTGTTTGTCTGGATGTCCTCATTGTCAAGAATAAGCTCGGCAATGGCTAATGGTAGACTTTTGAAATTTTGACATTACTTTTAGGTTTGCTTGACTTAAAATATAGGCTTTAAATGAAAACTAAATATTGAGTAGAGCCAAAGTTATGAATTCTTGAGTAATTTGTTAAGAGATTCCGGTTAGATAAAAAAAGATTCTCAAATTTTAACTATACACCCGTCAACGATGGGTACATCAGCTAGTTTTTTTTATATTTTGGAAACCAAGAGCTATTCTTAAGTCTAAAAATATGCTTTTCTATAAATTCATCCAATAAAAATCTTTCCGTTTGTATTAATGAAATATTTTATCATTTGCATATAAATCTTGTATCTTTCTACTTTACATAATTCATAATATTTATGGGACATTTTAATTTTAATTAATAATTATCTATCATAACTTGTATTTTGAAATGTTTAGTATACCTTAAAGAAAATATTAATAAAGAAAAATATGGTTTTAGTAAAGAAATAAGTATCCAACATTTGAGATTTATTATGAGGCTAATAACAGAAAAAGTGTAGTAGAAGAGTAAATAACTATCAGCATATTTCCTTTTAGATCTCCAAAAGGTATTCGATAAAATAAAAAAACAAAATCTTCTTAAAGTCTTAGAAAATTCCATTATTAATCTTATATAGAATAAGTCAAAGACATACCTTTGATGGCTTTTGTTATTTTAATAAGTGTATATGGCGCACGCAAAGTGTGGGTATCGGAAGAGAGCTGTACCAAGCTTCGAGGCCATAAACAGCCCTCAACCTCACCTCACCCTTCAACGACGAATCTGGTACAAGTACCTACGGGCTGGAAAGGATATAACACTATCCATGGTAGCTTTCAACCACTCAGCAGTCCACTTGAACTATATACCTGGCCGGGTCAGAGTCATGACAAGCACAACATTGGAATTGCATATAACAGCATATAACTGCTAACACAGAACCAATACGCCCACCATATCTGACAGAAAAGAACACTCCCGATGTCCGTCCATTGAGCAGCCGAGGCTGTGGTGATGCCCAGAAGTACCAATTCGATCAAAGAAAAATTTTTATTTGACCTCTGAACATAATTGGTAATATGAATGACCGCTATGACTTAACATCAACCACCGATATCACAAGAGGATGTTTGCGAATCAATGATCGATGAGGGGCAACATGAACCTAGGCTCAAGTCGAGAACCGTCCCCGTTTGTAATTGTAACAGAAACTTTGTAAAAAATCACTTCTAAGAATATGAAACAGAAGTAGGGATCCAACAAGGCTGCAGTCTTAGTCCAGATCTGTTTAGTCATAAAAAATTAACCTGGGATACTGCAATTTAAGACCAATAAAATATAGCCTGCTTTTGTTTGCTGATAATATGGCAGTGCGAGAAAATAGGAATAGTTCACCTTAAATATGAAAATCAATGCTGAAAAGTAATGCACATTGGCAAAAAAAAAAAAAAAGAAAATATATATATATATATATATATATAGCAACTGACAAAAAAAACACGAAATGCTGAAAATTAATGAGAATTGAAAAAAAATAATAATAATGCCATACCACTCAGATGCACTGTTATTCCACTTTTTTAAAGCTAAATATGAACCTTTTCCTATTATTTGAAATGGCAATCTCAATCATACATCATTTATCACTTGAATTATCGGAATCACTTTATGTCCTTTACCACTTGAATTCTAATGCAGCTCAAATTTACACGATTTTTTCCTCGTATAAGTATCAAAGTTCAATAGAAAATATATGAAAAACTAATTTTTTTTTTTCAGCTTGATAAACCAATAAGTATGTAGTGCATCAAATTGTCATAACTTATACTAGTTGTCTTGAATTTATTTTTCTTAGGGTTCATTAATTTTTTTTTTTTTACTTTTTAATCTGTTTATTGAATAATAATACAATCAGCCTCAGCTGGAGGGCTATAAGCATTAGGGCTACAAGTTCTCATTCATACAATATATACAAATAATAAAGAAAGAAATATAAATATAATAAGTAAATAAATAATACTGGTGAAGAAGTTAAATAAAAATAAAATAAACAAATAAAATAAAATAAAAACTTCTTAACACAATCATACCTATATACAATATATACATTCCCCAAGAATCTCCGAGCCAGGCTTATTTCCCCACACATGGAAGGCGAAGCAAGACTCCGGAAGATCCCAGCGCCACTTTTCCAGCCGCATCACTAGTATTAGAAGCCAATGGAGACTGAAAGAGGGCACTAGAGCCACAGACGCTCAGGACATGAGTGGAGAAGCTGGCCATTGCCAGGACTCCAAAGGCATATTTACAAAAGATCTCGAGGCCACTGCCGTTTCAACCTTTGAGGGGGATGGTATGGATGTTCGGAGCTGGATAGGGATTGCGCTAGAGGATTGGGATGATGAATGAGGTTCTGGTGAAAGTTGGAGAATCTGGATGGGATGATGTCATGGACATATGGGATGTTAAGGTCATGGTGTAGGGTCTTGTTCGTGACATAATATGGAGCATTGACTATTGTTCGAAGGACTTTGGACTGGAAGGATTGGATGCGTTTGATATTCGATGATTTAGTTGTCCCCCACAGTTCAAGTCCGTAGGTCCAGATAGGTTTCAGTATGGTCTTGTAGATTAATAATTTGTTTTCTGTTGAGAGATGAGATGTTCTGTTTAGTAGTCTATATAGCTGACCAAATCGTCGGTTAAGCTCTTGTCTTTTAAGTCTGGTATGTGGGTTCCAAGTCAGTCTTATTAATTTTTTAAACACCTAATTTCTACTGAAATGAGGGTGGTAAGTGAAAGTTGTATGATACATTGCATCAAATTTTTTCATCTAAATTAAACTCTTTTATTATCAATTAAACAACCATAAAAAATTATATAAGGACTTTCTTTAAAAATAAATTGTTAATGCCAAGCTTTGTATTCATTGTTTCAAAACTCAAATCTTACTTTTGATTTACATCTACTTCATCCTCCAATTATCATAAAACATTCAAAAACTTTAACAAATAAAAATTACAGGATAAAAATAAGAGAAATTGAATTAACTGAGTAATCTATAAAGTTAATACAATTTTTACCTATTATCCTAATAATAAACATTTTTAAATACCATTTAATTCTTACTTGCAAGTATCCTGGATCTTTCAGATTCTTCTCGCAAGGCACAACTATATTTACATTTAACAATCTCATTATCTAAAACTGAATCAATTCTTGTTTTGTTTTCTTTTAATTTTCTTATTGCATCCTCCAACATTCTGGGGAAAAAACAAAGAAGAATAAAATAAATAAGACAGTATTTGCAATACAATCCTATAGATCACCAATACCACGAATATTGACACTTCGCAAACTTTCTTCAATGGCTCTATTGAAAGAAAATTCTTAAATATAAGATTTGTTGACATGCACAAACCCATTAAACATAAACTAAAAAGTAAATATATATATAATAATAATATCAAAATATAAAGTAAAATACAGAATACTACAAGGGAAAAAAATTAAAAAACCAAATCAACATGGATAAAATATAATGTAGTCTGAAGAATTTAATAAAAATTAAAAAATGCTCCATTCTCAGTTAAATTGCCTAACTTGTGTAAAAAGCCTCATGTTTCGTGTCCGTTTATACCTCATAATCTGACTTTTAGTTTCTGAGATATTTGAATCCATATGTAAAAACATTTCAATTAGCTGACTCAAGCCAACTTTACCCGAGCGCTAACACATCGAAAATGTGATGGATCAATCCAATTCTTTCTTCACAAAAAAGGGCATAATGCGCCTAAAGAAGTTTTCAAAAAGAAAGATTTAAAACTGTTTTATTTAATCAAAATAGTCTCTACTAATATCAATAACAATTCTACCAACGTGTTGACAACTTTTCCATTCCCTCGGTATAGAATTTCTCATCTTTAGAATTGATAAACTTCGAAAACACATTTTCTAATTCCCTTTGTCCATTAAATTTTTTGTCATGTAAGTAGTGGTCCTGGTGTCTAAAAAATGATAATCAGTAGGCGAGAGGTCAGGAGAGTAGGACGGATGTGGCAGAGTTTGATATCCAAGCTCCAACAGTTTTTGTGACGTCACACATGAGACATGTGGCCGAGCGTTGTCATGCAACAAAATGGGCACCTTCCAATTGATCAAAGATGTTATTGTCAATTTCTGATTCATTGCATTAATTTTGTTACAATATGATTCGGATTTTATGGTTTCTCCAGGATTTAAGAAGCTGTAGTGTATCAATCAAATGAAGCCCACCGAACAGTAATCATCACCTTTTCTTGATGAGTTGAGGGCTTTGGAAAATGTTCCGCTGCTTCTCCTTTGTCGATCCACTGTCCAGAACGTCTACTGATATCGTAAAGTATCCACTTTTCATCACAAGTAACAATTCTGAATAGAAAAGGGTCGTTTTTGTTGCGCCAAAGAAGTGTAACACAAACTTCATAATGCTTCTCTTTTCAGTGGTCATTTAATGTTTGTGGAACCCAACTTTCAAGATTTTTTACCTTTCTAATCACCTTGAGGTGGTCATCAATGGTTAATTTGTAAAGGTTGAGTTTCCCTGCAAGTTCTCGAACACTTATTCTGGAATTTTCTTCCATCAAAGACTGCAGAACATCGTCATCAAGAGAGGAAGTCCTTCCACGACCTTCTTTGGCGTCAAGGCTGAAGTCTCCCTCCCGAAATTTTTTGAACCACTGTTGGACAGTTATGCTGCTCTCCCCCCAGACTGGATTGATGTTTCTGGCCATCTTGGCCGACTTTAGACCCGTAAAACAAAATTATACGAAAATCACGCGATGATATCTAAGTAAAAACTGAATTATTTCTCAGCAGTGTGATACTACAGAGGTAAACAAACATTATTGTTAGGAAGAGGATTAATAAGTGTTGTCATTCATACAAATGAATAATCTAGTTAACGTAAATAGTTTGTTATAAAGAGGGACATTTTAAAGAAAACTCAAAATCCTGCATTATTTTCCGGACAACCCAATATTTTATATACTACAAACTACAGTAAAATAAAATCTTCTGATTTTTTTTTTTAATTCTTTTTGTAGTAAATATTCTGAAGGTTGGATCTATAGTTAATTGTTTATCCATTGACTTAGCTGGAAATTGTCAAGTTCTTTCTATTCACTTTATTTTTTGTCATTTTACGCTTGAACCTGGAATAGAAGTATTATGTCATTTATCAAGTATAATCACGAACAAATGTCAACACTACAAATGGTTAAACAAATAAATAAAAATATGTCATTTATACCTTGGCTTATAATTGGTTCCTAATTGCAGTTCTACTAGAGTTATATTGGAGTCAATTATTCAAATTCGTTCGGTATCCAGACTAGGACTGGGATTGATTGGTCCAGATAATCAATGCTCTATTATATGTGTTAAATCATTTCAAATAATAACGTAATCATTTTATAATTATGGTGATAATTTTATATGCACCTCTTTGTCACTATATAGTTTTAAGGGTGGGTTATATTTATTTCATTTAAAATGTTTAACTTAATCTATACCCAGTTAGATCCTCATAATATAAAGACTATTAATTGTCTCTTAAGCAAAACAATCCATTGCTTCCTAGCTCTCTACCCATGTGTACCTTCTTGTCTTAACGGTAACTTACTGAATTATGTTGTCTTATGTTTTTAGCCAGTGAGTTTATGTTCATGTTGTCTCCATATATTATTTCATAAGATTTTATACAGCTAGTTTTTAGGTTTACTCCTTAGAACATCAGAACACTTGTTTGAACTGGTGTTCAAAAATATTCTGGTTCTTTTAGTACCTAAGGAAACATTCTGTTCTTGCTACCAAACATATCTAAGATGTCAATCTATCAAAGAAGTTCACCTATACAATTGCCAGATTTTAGTCAGTATGTTTTACTATATTTTCATGATTGAAAAACACTCATATACTGAGAAATTATTTACAAATTTCTTAATCCTGCTAACTAAACCTTAGATTTAATTGTAATACCTACAAGGGGGATTGAGGCCATAAAATATAGCATACTGAGCACTTTAAAACTGTTTAAGACTAGTAAGACTGTTGAAGGTCATTAATTGCTTATTACCTATAAGCAAGCTAACTTAAAGATTAAAGTAGAGAAATGGCCACAATGAGATGGCAACCACGCTGTTCAAGAACCTACACAGAGTTCATTCATCCCTTTTTCTCTTGAGCGAGCAGATTTCGAACACATTTCAGGATTCAGAAACTGCAGTATTATTCATTATGGATTAAACGATAGATATGAATAAATGTGATTAAAATATAAATTTAAATTTAATTGCATTAGTGTTACTATTTAATTTATACCATAGTAATTATAGGTAGTACTTATTAGTAATACTACCTAAAACAATTCTGTGGCTATTGATTATCATTAGTAGATAACAAATAAAATCGTTAAAAGAAAGTATATTCTGTTTAATTCAACAATTACTTTCAAGGAAGAAGTGTAAACTTCGATGAACAGCTCATTAGCATTTCAATAAATCAGTTCCTTTTGTTATTTATGAATAAAAAAAGTGAACTTATTCAGAACTGAAGGTGATTTACACATTCAACCATTATTATGTTGGTTATTGTGTTGTAAATGTAATTTTAAATGAAAAACACACAATCTGCTATGAAAGGTTAGAGATCGATCCTCTACTTCTACTAAAACAGATAGATTCTGAATTCCACCTACATTGTGCTTAATATTTATTGTCACTATCTTTAAGTAGCGAATCAAACTAGCATGTCTTATTTCCTATCATTTTTCTCCCACCGAAAATTTGTGTCTGTTCTTACCCAATATTTGAATCAAGACCAAAAGCTTGTTAATTTCCATATTAAATTATAAAACAATGATTAGGAAATCATACTGAATTGGTCAAACAATTATAAAATAGGTCATTCCTTACTAACTCAATTTCATTTAAAAGTTTCTTCTGTTGTAATTCAAATTGATGACATTCTTCTTCGTTAAAGTTTGAATAAAATCTCTTCATACTTTTATAAGCTTCACTTCTAGGCCAAAAATAACAGCCTGTAAAAATACAACAATAGAGCATAAGTTAACAATTGGCTGAAAAATTAAGACTAAAATCAGTAAAAATATAAAAGTACCAAGATTTCCAAGTTGGTAGCTTAGGGCATAGTTAGCCAGCGCTAGACATGTACTAAAGTATATTGTGGAGTATGGTACTGGTAAATCTGACTTTTTTAATTTGGGTATTGCAACTTTATTTTCCTAAAAACAAGTGTATTAATTAATTATGTACATCAATTGAAGGCACAAACATCATATGCTATAATCAGTACCTTGCTCATGTTTTTTATGGAGTCAAAAACATATCTTTTACACTTTTCTATTCTCCTCTTAACTTCAGGATCTACTGACTTCCAACGACCTTCACCAAATGAATTATCATTTAATTCAACCACTTGTCCACAAGCATTCAGTAAGTACCTAAGGATGTCATATGCTTCTCTTTGTGACAACAATGAAAAGTCCTATAGCACAAGTATATATATAAATAAAATTCAAATAATTAAAGATCAAAGAATGTTTAACACTTACTCTGCTTATAGAGCAATTTAAATTAGGAGAGAGTGGAAACTTCATTGACAACGTTGAAAATGCTTTTTTCAACAATCCCACAATTTCGTCACACATTTTTTTTTTTTTTTTATAATCAACAACACTAACTTTAAATAAAATGGATATCAATCCATAGTTGTCACAAACGTAAACAATTACAACGAAGATCACGAAAGATTCAAATATTTCATCCAAACTTTCCTGAATTCTGGCGCGAACTTACTCAGTCGAAACCAAAGAGCTACACGCACATTTCCAGTATAAAGATGATTTAGTTGATTGATTCTTCAAAAATATCTCATTTCTTATAGTTAAAATAGTAATTATAGTATTGAATAGCCATTGAAACACTAACTAATCCAGGTGGGAAACCGCGCCTCTTTGGAAGCTACAGACAATTTTATTCTTCAAATAAAAAAATATATGTATACTTCCTATTAGTTCATTCATATAACAATTAGAATTTTAAAATTATTTAATAATTAATTATTAATTATTAGGTTGCCAAGCGGGCCAAGACGCTTGCAATAAGAAAACAAAGTCAAGCAAAGTCGATCGTAGTAAGTACTTAGTTGGGGGATCCCCGAACTGAGTAACCCAAACTCTTGTCATTTCAGAATTTTGTATGATATGGTAACTCGAAAGAGAGCCATCCACTGAATCGCCGCTAACCATAGTTTTATGGTGGCTCGGATCAATCGTGTCTCACTATAGGATGGCATGAATTTGACAATGATCATTCTCAACTTTTTCTTCTCAGCTTCATCTTTCAATCTGGCCCTGCTGTTCAAGGCAATCACTCTGGCGAGATCATAGACATAATTGGTGGCGGGGAAAATTCTTTACCAACACTCCAAGCAATTTGTCAAAAACCAATATCTACAAGAACAGAAAAATTTGGACAAACCTTTTCCATATTCTTTTAAATCAAAGAAGGTTCTCTGTATTTTCAATATCTGGTCAGTGGAGGTAGCTCTTCAAATAGTTCATGAGAATAGCTGAGAGCCTCTTTTTATCTGTAACTGTTCAAGACGTTGTCATATAACATACCTCTACGCCCTCTCATCATCGTCACTGAACAGTCTCAGCAAGGCACCTTTCGCTTCCCTGCCTTTGGTGCTTCTATATTATCGAGTTGTTACACTGGTGTATTTTCTCTAGTCGTCTTGGCCTTTTCCTGCTTTTTTTACTCGTGACCACATCAAAAGCCTCTGTAAGTTCCTATGGTCGAGCATCCATAGTCGAAAATAAGTTCTAGTCGTTGAGGTACAACATCTTTCGCTAAAAGATACTCCATAAATTTCAGCACAAGTCTCGGCAATGACAAGAAATTTCGTCTGCGAAGTAACCGGTGAACATGTTTTTCTGAATACTATAGACCCAAAAAAGTTCTAATTTAATTTTTGAAATTATTTAAAGCCCTCTTTAGAAAAAACATATTGCAAATCTTTATTAGGGCGGAATCGCTCGTAAGCCAGAGTCCTGGAATAAATAATCGGAATTTATTTGGTGTTTTTCATATTTGATTGACTCCTGGACCCATTAAATCTCCTTGCATTATCATGCGGTCAACTATCTTCAGAAATTATTTTTTATTATTAGTATAACTTTTATGTTATAGGTGACCAAGTGTTCTGCACATTCTCAACTGAAAATAATAATTGTGCTCTCAGCTAAGTGATCTGATAATTTTTAGCTACCACAATCGCCCTCCGTAGTTTTTATTTCAATAATACCAACCCAAAGTAGTAATGAGGTATGCTGTTTACAAGTAAACAAACTCACTAATTATTTTTTTCAGTTCCTCACAATCGTCTCTTTGGTAAAGTTCTCATCCAAGATGCCTAGATTTCCTATACTTTCACTAGGGAACATTTTCAATACACATATCGCGAAATAATAAACTAAATTGTGTGAAAATGCGTTTAAAAATTTAAAAGTGATTTATGTTACCTAATGTCAACAAATATTTTTACCGCAGTCCAGTTGTCGGTGGAAAAAAACAAGCCGATCTTACAACTGCTTCATTAAAAATAACGAAAAAAGGTAGGCTGAAAACATAGCACGATAAGCAATATCGATCTTCAAAAACATTAGAAGAACCAAAAAAGTCTATCTTCCTAGATAGACTCTTGTGTGGCTTAGGTAGTCAACAGTCGAAAATTAAACACCTGAAGAAACTTTATCAGACCGTTTGAGCACAATATAGCAATGTTGATACAACCAAACGAGTTGTATTCAGGGTTCAGTTCTGAAAAAGCTTTAGTATTTTTAGTTTTACCTCTGTTTCCAAGAATTTATTATCTTTCAAATGAGAACCTAAGTATAATTTTCAAGATGTATATTTTTACGAAACTTTTTTTTAGGACGAAACAAAATTTTAAGGAATTTAAGTCCAGTATTTTTATTGTGTTAGCCGACGCGACGTTTCGATCCGAACATATGGGTAATCCTCAGAGCTACCATTTGGAAGTCAGACAAGAACTCCAGAAACATCCTAATCCAATCCAAAAAAATATTTGGACTAATATTCCTGAAAAATTTGTTTCGCCCTTATAATTGATCAGTAGACTACTTATCCATCTCTAAAGTTCTAAATATTGCTTACATATTCAAAATATCATAAATATGAGCTCTCTTCAAGATATCACTGGCTTCATAACTCAGCTTGATCCATCTTTTCCTTGATACTACAGAACTTGCCACTTAGCTGACATTACTGAAACATACACCAGTTTCTGCACAAAACTCTGATTTTCCTTGTTCGCCGTATGTTTTTTCATTACATTATGTGTCCTCATCTGATAATGTACATACAAGAACTGAGCTAAATTGTTTCCGTTTTCTAAAATCCAAACACCCTAGTCAAATAACTCTTCTTAACCGTTGTTCATACCTTCACAGACAACTAGTCCACAGTTCTTGTCTCGACTTATTTATCTATTAATTATGTTATTTTTAATATTAATATTAATAATCAAAATATAACCCATTATGCTCTATGATTTGACACCATCTGGAAACCAGCTTTAGAGTTCCTTGATGCCACTCTTTGGATTCTGAAACAAAGAACTCGCAAACCTCATTCAAGTAATTAAATGTTTTTCCATAAAGGAAATTAGCCATTGGCCTGAACAAACGATAGTCTGATGGAGCTACATCTGGACTATATGCTGTGTGAGGGAGAAGCTCAATTTAATCCAAATCAGCTAGATTTTGTTTTGTATGGCGAGAAGTGTGGGGTCTGGTTTTATCTTGTTGAAACAAGATTTGCTTTCTGTTGACTAAAATTGGATCTCGTTGAATCAAAACATCGTATATTCTCCGCAGTTGTTCCGAATAGATCTCTGAATCACTAACCGATCCAGGATTTAATTTTAGGAGATACTTCAATCCGGATGTTTTTTTATGTGTATATCACGATCATTACTTCGGAAGAAGGAAAGAAACTAATTATTTATATGAAATGGTGTTCATGTGATTGTCTAATTATAATTAGACGAACAATAATACATTTAGAGATAATTTTTTTCATAAAAGATGGTTACATTTTACCAACTTGGTGGAGAGGGGAAGAGGGGCACTTGAGCGGGAAAGCCCCTCTCCCCATAGATCCGCCTGTACTCTGAATTGATGGAACTACCTACAGTACCTAATTAGAGCTTTCTCGTTAATCATCTGATCGTGATTTACTTTCAAGGCAAACATGTCCTTCATTAAATTTTTGGAACCACTTTCGCACCGTCCTTTCATTTAAAGGTCTGAATTAATCTTTCAATTCACGTACTAAACAAGCAGCTTCAGCTGCTGAAAACTTCTGTTTCCAATAAGGGAATGAAATTAAGAGAATTTCGTACTTTTCCATCATTGTGAATAAAGGAAAGCTAAAGGACTACTGAGCCTGAATAGGAAACATACTGTTTACCAAATGATTCAGACATGATCAAACATTAACTTCATTTCACAATTTATAGCTCCTGGATGTAAATAAGAGATGAATTACGATTAAATGTTGAAAAACAACAAAAACTGTTATTTTTTCTAACTTAACCCATTATTATAGATATGTTACTTTTATTCATTCATGAAGTCCTGGAAGAAGTAGAGGCTTAATGCACAAAGGAAGTCCAGAGAATTGCAGTTGAACTAGTTTTGGCCACTTAAGTATGTTATGAAGGGAGATATAAATATTGATATAAAGAGACATGTATTTGATAATTGCATCCTTCCTGTGGTGAACTAAGGTCTTGGCCTAATTGGAAAAAGTTTCTTGGGTTCTGTACTTGGTAAGCAAGTATTGTTTCTTGGTCAACAGTTGTGATCATCTGTTTGATTCAAATTATGCTCAACCACCAGCTCTTTGCCCCTTAGTAAAAGTAATCAATTCATAGAGGTTTGATGTGCCCCATGAGGATCCATTTTTTCAAGAGTCGAACAGTAAATTATTACCTGCCACAGTTGGATAGGAGCACAGGATCCAGAGAATAGGATTACAGTGCATAACTCACTGAGCTACTGTTCCCTTATTTTATTGATAACCTTTAAAAAAAAAAATTAAAATATGAATTTATAATGATGAAAAAAACCATGTTGACTAGACATGTTAGGGGCTTGCATTCAGAGAACATAAAAACTTTTTTATTTTATTTTTTGCTGACGTTACAGGCCTTCATCAGAGCTAAGGAAAGACAAGATAACCAAAAATTATTGAAAAAAGATATAAGAACAAAATATATATTATCTGTTAATTTTAATGTACCTCATAATGGTAGCCATTTTAAAATTTAATGGTCAATAAAATAATTTTAAAATTTAGTGGAATTATTTATACATGGAACACAATTATAAAATGTACTTATTAGCAGATAAAATATATTTTGTTCTTATATCTTTTTTCAGTAGTTGTTTAATAATTTTGGTTGTTGCCTTGCCTGATAAAAGCCTGCAACTTAGGCCGAAATGTAAGCACAAAATAAAATAAAAACATTTCATTTATCCTGTATTCTCACAGACTGAAACCTCCTTCACAACTAAAATACCAATTACATTCAGGCCCAGCTTGTGTCTGTTTTGAAAGAGATAAAGGTTCTTTTAATAATAATAAAATGTTTAGGCTATATTTGTTCCACCAATTTTTGTTTTTATTTTTCTGATTAGATTGGCAACATCGGCGGTTGTCACCATTTTCATAATGATGTTCATT